GGAGGATGGTGAGGGGGGAGGTGGAGAGTGCGTTGAGGGGCTTGAGGAGGCCGGGGAGGGTTGTTGTGGGGGATGATGCTAGGAAGAGGAGGGGTAGGGGGTTAGGGTTTAGGGATGGGGGATATGAGATGGATGGATGATATTTGGGGAGTGGGGGGGTTACGGGAATGGCTTGTATATTGAGCACGTTGTAAGATCTTAGATATAATAACTAATGACTGGGTATGAGAGTTGTAAATTGCAACTGTGGCAGACTAACAGCTATAGACAGGCAAGGGACGATTACCGTAATAATGCAAAGACAGAACCGCGTAATAATACCTATAGGTATATATCATTTCATGCACAATCTATATTATAGACCCCCATTTGAATCGGTTTACAAGCGTTTTGAGGAGAGTATATTCTATTAATATTATCTTTTACATTTTTTATCTTTACCGATGCTCTATACCAATTCTAATCCTACCCAAGATATACATCCATCTAGGCTATGCAGAAAGCACAAACGCCAAATCTAAACCTACCATCTATACCATACCACCCCAAACAGGTTTAAAAAAAAAAACGAAATTATTGAGTCGGTTTATTCGTAATCACACCCTCCTGGCGACCCCCCTGGACCCCGCTGTCCACTTCATCATCGCCATCCGTCCTCTCCTTCTCATCATCTGTCTTCCCCTCATTGTCCGTCCCATTGTCCGTCGTATCCCCATTATCCTGAGCCCCTCTTATGCGGTCCAAAACCGCTGCTGCCTCAGCAGCGTACTTGCACTTCAACCGGATGGCCTTTCCGTACTTGTAGAACAGGAAGGGGAATGGTACACATGCGAGTGCGAGGAAGGCAGGGACGGAGGACGCCCAGTGGATTCCCAGGTTTTGGAACATATCTAAATCCATTCCGTTAGCAAGGTATTCATTCCTTCCTCTCCCATCATCCATACAGAAGAAGAAGAAGAAGAAGAAAAAGGTAAAGAAAGGATAAGCTCACAAGTAGTGAAAAGCGGAAACACGGCACCGAAAATACTCCGCAGCACACTGTTAGCAGCCAGCACACTGGCCGCATAAATCACATACGCATCAATGAGGTAGTTCATAATGCTCAAGAACACCAGCACCATGCCGAAACCAAAGGGCGCGGCACCGATAATGGAGACGGACCAGTGGATCGAGGGTCCGTTAGTCCATGCGAACCAGAAGAGGCCGACGGGGAGTAAGATACTGCCGATCATAGAGGGAGGGAGTCGGGCTTCTGGAGCCGCGTGGCCTCCATGTTTTTCCGCGACCCGGGCGTAGCGACCGTTGTCCCAGATGGAGTAGATGACGGCTAGGATCATGCCTACCATTACCTGTAAAGATGAGATGTTAGTTATCTGGATCTGAGGAGATCAAGTGACTGTAGCATCAAGAGAAACATTTCTCGCATCCTAAAGAAACGGGAACAAGTGACTTACACCTAGGAAACTCAAACCCCCAATACCCGGACTCCATCCACGTTCCTCTTGATAAACAATCGGGAAAGCCCCAAAGAGCATATACAGAGTCCCGTATATAATGGCCATATAAACACTCAACAAAAAAACAATCGGCTCTGTGAAGAGCAAGACCCACGGCCTCGAAAGCGCCGTCTTGAATTCCTGACCTGCAGTCTTCGTCCCACCCTCAAGCTCCATCTTACTTTTATAGAACTTGCCCGTCTGCTTGCTCAGCTGCTTGGCGCGTCTGCGAAGGATAAGAGGAGAATACGTCTCGGGTATCGTCAAAGCGCCAATGATCCACAAAGCGCCAGTGAAGATAGCCATCAGCCCCTCGACCCATCTCCAACCTTTCGTCTCGCCCAAGAACCCCCCAATGATCGGTCCCAGCGTCGGGCCAAGGAACGGTGCAGAGGCGAAGACACCCGCTGCCAATCCCCGCTGTTTCGCAGGGAACATATCCGCAATCACACCTCCGGCATTCGTTAACGGCGATGATCCGAATGATCCAGCGAAGAATCTGAGGATGATGAGTGTTTGGATGTTTTTCGAACCCGCGGCCCCGGCGTTGAAGACTGTGAGCATCATGTAGGTGCCGAAGAACAGATATTGGCGGCCCCAGAGCTCAGACATGGGCGCCCAGATCAAGGGTCCAATTGCAAAGCCTAGGACGAAGAGGGAGAGGCCGAGAGTGGCGACTTCTGAGCCGACATGGAACTCTAACATGATTTCATCGATGCCACCAGAGTATGCAGAGGAGACAAAGGCAACGGCAAGGGTTGACTGTCGATGCAATTAGAATGATAGAAGGCTTTCTGTGGGAGATTTGAGACTTACAACTGCTACTAGCATCGTGATGGTCCATTTTGTCAGGTCCGTCCAGTTCATGGGATTTCTGCGATCGTTGGGTATATATTCCACAATGTAGGGGTCCGCCTCAGTGCCTGATCCTTTGTAGTCCCACTCTAGAATATGTTTGGTTATATGGGTCTGGTCAAAAACGAGCTCCCAATGCGAAGCCTCTTCCTGTACACTCTGAGCCTCCAAATCCACATCCACATCTCGGTTGGGATGATTTTCCCCCGCCGTTATTGACGATGATGAGGAACTTGGTTGCGCCATGGTTAAAATAAAGCCTTGTCAAGGCTGCGAACAGCTTTTAAAAACGCAAGGTTCCAGTCCAGTCTACAGGACGGATATCTAGAAAGTATATATGGAAAGGATAGGGAAAAAGCAATATGAAGGTGGGAAGAGAAGTCAAAACATAGTCAAACCTCTGTCTGAAGAGAGGAAATGAGGAAGAGATTGGCGTGGCCAGCCAGCAGGAGCCATGACATTTTATCATTCCATTTTAACATGACCTTATCCACAGCCTCGGAACTTGGAAATTTTATGCACCGCTTACAAAAGCACGGACGTGCATAGTTTTCACAATCGCAAATGCATGGCAGGGATGCACTGCGCATTATTGGCTGGAGAGGAGAGAAGCTTGGGTTTGTACTCCGTAGGCAAATGTCGAAAGAATGATGCGAGCCAGGCCGACCGTGCCGCTCTTCCGTAGCGTCTTTTGTTTTGTTTCGTTTCGTTTTCATCCCATCTTTTCTACCTTCGCACCTAAGCTGAAAGGCCGAGACCGAGGTTGCATAAACGCGGGCTTGGGGCTGTTTGAGAATAGACTACCGCTTCCAGTAAGGCACTAACCCAATGGGGATACTTACGAAGTTTACCCCGATCGTGGATTCGTGGCGTCCTGTGGCTTACATGGGTATGGCTAGCGTGACGGTGAAAGGACAAGGACTTAACGAATAGATACAATACAGTACAGTACCGTACTTCCTTCGTATAAAGTAAGACGGGGTCGGAGGTTCTGTCCGAACACTCAATCGTATTGCACTATTCCCCCTCTAGCCACAAACATACGACCTTTCTTCAGAGTAGAGAACGACACAAGAAAGTGACGAGCAAGTGCCACTTAAGCATAAACTACATCCAGCCTAAATTTACCGTGGCAATCTGCGATCTGCAATCTGCACGCGGAATGCAGTATACTATAGAGCGAACTACGACATGGCAGTAGGCTGCATGAGGAACCAAACCAGACCTACGGGTATATCCTAGCTTCCATATAACCTTATTCTACGTGCTCGAAGTGGAGCATATCAGGAGATGATATAGCAACAGAGACCTATTGCGATTTTGAGACCGCTTCTATTTACTCCGTAATCGTAATCGGGAACCTACCATCAAGAGCGTCGAGGCTTAGGACTGACATACTTACAAATCCACCCTTTCAATCCCACTCCCCCCCTCAATTTTTCCGTTTCTTCTTCTTGGGGACCAGATCCTGGCGGTTCCTGATAGCGCTGTGTGAGTGTTTACTAGCTCGATCTACTTCTTGCTTCTTGGATTTCTCGGGAAGCTTCTTGTCGGCTTTGACCTCGTGCTTAGGAGCTGACTGTTCATTATCATCAAAGCCACCCCATTCGTGTTGGTCTTCCACCATCTCATCTTCAGCGATTTTGGTCTCGGTGACATAGTTCGTGGCTGGCTCTTCGTCCTCTGATCCGGCTTTGACGGGGAAGCCCATCAGATCTCTCACAAGATGACCTTGCTCATCTCGAAGGAACTGTGCCTCGATGTTCTCAGGCACCTTTAGATCTCGCACAAATCCAGCAAGGAAAAATCCCATAGTGCCATACTCATCGCCTTTGTTGGCCCTTATGCAGGATTCCGCAAGCACGGTATTCCCATCGCAAGCGTCCAGCGATCCCCGGTTTGACCACTCTCTCATTCCCCTGATCTGATCATCACGCTTCAGAATCCGCCATCCTCTCTCCTTGGCAATCGCTGAATCAAGCGCCTGCTTGACCACATTTTCATTCTCTTCGGCGTAAAGGGAGCACGTGGAGTACGTGATCTTCCGTGCGGATGGGAATTTGAAAGAATGAAGTAGTAGTTCGAGCTGGAATTTGGATAAAGCTGTTAGTCGAGCTTTTAACTCATCCTCGGTATCGACAGCGGTGACCATCCCATCATCGTCAACCAATACATCCAGCGGCTCTTCGGGTTCCTCACGCTTGCGCTTCCGGGTCTGTTCAGTCGGCTCAGGAGCTTTCGTGACCTTGCCTTTCTTGAAATTCTTTGACGAATCCGCACTTGCCTTTTGTTTAAGAACCGGCAAGTGCAATTCAGGCATGTCGTCCCTTCCAATAATGCCACTTCCAGAACAACTGGGGTCTAGTAGTAGGGCTCCAACTCTCTTAAAAGTCGGTGCCTCGGGATCTGTCTTGAGGAAGTCTTGTCCAGGGTGAAGTTTCGTCAAACCATCTGACCCCGCTTGGTAGACCATTTTCTCAAGAGTCTCTGCTCTCCCCTTATTCTTCTCGAAAGCATGAATCTTCTGCTTACACTTCTCCGGCTCCGGATTATGAGAAAGCAGAATGGCAGCAATGTGAGTAGTCTTATTACCAGGTGCCGAACAAGTATCAATAACGTCGCCATCCTCCGGCAGTGGATCAAGAAGATATGCCGGAAAGCATGATGCTTTGTCCTGGAAGATGATAGCTCCAGATTTGTATGCGTCGCTTTTGGAGAGGTCGATACTTGGCGAAATGGCGACTAAATTCGGAATGTTGCCGTCAATAAATACCCGCTTCGACCCACGTTGCCGTACAGCATCAACAGTGGTAGCACGCTCATATCCGGCGAACGTCGTCTCAAGTTGATCCTCGAGCTCGGTCTTAAGAGTGTTGATACGCACCCATCGTGGATAAGGTGCCTCGGAAGTATCAGCGCTATTCTCCAGACCAGCTTCGATATGAGCTTTCAGCGCCTCAACCGAGCTCAATTTCCGCTTAAGTCTAGCTTTCGTGAATTCGGATTGCAGCCTTCCCTTATGACGTTCCACTGAACTTCTGAGGCCATGAATTGCTGGAAGTGCAATGCCTCTTTTCGCCAAGAGGAAATCGTGAACAAGAAGTACAGAAAGTACAGGTGTAAGCTAGGCAGGTCAGTTTAGTAGAAATTCAGTACTGCACGAGATAGAAAGATTTATTAGCCTCACCTTCCGCTCCACACGTAAAATATCGGCCTTTTCGATGACCTCTTTCAAAACCGAGCTCCACTTACACGACTCGATGGCCAGTGCGTAAATCTGGGCCGGTTGTGATTTTAGGTCCTTTTTGCTGAAAATTCGTGACTTCAAACTTCCCCCAACGTTGGTAGGCGCTGTCAGGAACTCGGCTGTTTCGTGATATAGAGACATTGTGGCCGACCTCTATTAAACCCCTCAACCATCTACGTACAGTTCAAGAGTGATTGACCGCAATTCCGAGGAGCAGGAAAATTCGTGGGTGTGTTGGAGTTGTTACGGCTAACTTTTTCCTGCAAAAAGTTTCGCGGAGTAACACCGACGCAGTGCACGTGACATGTACATTTTGCATTCTGAAAAGGGAATTCTTTTTGCATTTTATGGGACTTTCAACGGGTCTCTAATGAGCCTTGAACTTATATCGATTGCAATGAACAATTGGAATCAAAAATCGGATATCATCTCTTCTTACGCACTTGAGCCTTACCTCCTCCCCGCCCCCTGATTAGCTTCGGCTAAAGCTGCGGAAGTTTTATATATACTCTGCTGTCAAGAGAAAAAGATCAGTCAGACGGACAATATGAGGGAAAATTATGATAGGAAATGTCAAAGGCATCTACGGTCGAGGGTAAAATTAGAAAAATATTCGATTTATTTCTATAATTCTATAATTTCTATGGTAGAGTATAAAGCTAGCCGGAATCTTGTTCGCAATAGTCGTTGTCTTACTTTTAGTTTGTTTAGGCGAAGCTTCATTCGTAACGATGCTCTTTGAGCCCTCTCAAATGTCAGAATTCACCGGACCTGGTGAGCTGCCATCCCCCGGAAAAGCCTTCTCTCGGACATTCTCACCACCAGCTCAAGCCAAGTAGAGCCCAGTTCTGTCCCTGAACTTGTGGTCTATTGGATCCTTTGGATGCGAGTGTAGCTTTCTGCTTTTACTTATTGGAGAAGCATCACTTTGCCTATAAGTTGTAAGCCGCAACATTCACTAGTGAGAAACTGTGCAATACCTGGGCACCGAATCAACCATGATATAGCGTTACCCAGCTACACTTACAACCACCACTACTCAGATGGCCCTTCCCCTTGCATCTTCTCTATCCACCTGGCAAAGAATTCCTTAATAGGCGTAGTACGAAAAAGCCGCCAAACTTCATCACTTTCCAACTCTTCCTCCGTCACATTCGATGCAGGACTACCATAAACCGAGTATTCAGTAACCGTACCTGTCACCATTAACCAAACCACCCCTTTCAACAACTCCCGTTCCCCAGAAAGAAAATTCAACAAAAACATACCAGCCTCAACATCCAACAAAACCCAAACCCCATACAATTTCCCATCCGTCAAACTAAATGCATTCTCACCCAGCCTCTGCCCCAAGTCACAGACATCCTCCGTCACCTCCCCTATATTGACCCCCTGACCTGGGAATGGTTCCACGACACCAAGCCTATAAACTACATCTCGCCGCTAAACCAGAGACGTATCAATGAGATCTGGGAAGCGAAACGGTATTTGTTTGAGCCGAGGGGGCGATTTACCCATTTTACGGAACGTCTCGCGGTGTTCGGCGGGCCAGCCTTCTGGTGGTGGGGTTTTGATTGCTGATGCTGGGAGGAAAGGGTGGGTGGTAAGGAAGGCGTGGAAGTTTGTGATGGTGTAGACTATTTCGTCGTGGGTGACTGGTAGGATTGTTTGGGGTTGGGACATTCTGCTGAATGGGTGGGATGTGAAGATTGTGAAGATTGAAGCGCTGGGATAGAGATTCTGGTGGTAAGTCTTGAAGTCACGAATATCACATATCGTACCGCGAAGTTTCTGGAAGCGAAGTAGCCCCTGACTCCTGCATGAGCCCAATTTCAAGCCCACAGAGCTAGTGTTTCCTCCCAGTTCTTACTATATCTTCAACTACTTTTTTTTCTAAGTAGAAACGGTCATTATTCATCGGACATAACAAAGAAAAACCACCCAATATTTAGATGATTTGTCTCAACAATGGAAGCTAAATCCAGCACAACTTGTATACGTAATAACATCGGAATTTGATCAGACGATGCAGAGCTTTCAAAAGGTAGAAGTATTGCTGTCAAGTACTGACTTACTGTCAATATTTTACTCGAGACATTCAGTCAATTCCACTAAGTTTTTACACCAAGTTGACTCGACTTGACTGGACTCAATGATTCCAAAAAGCTTCCTTATAAACAAGCCTCGACCTCCACAAAGTGATCTGAGTTCCATGGACCCCGCTCTCCTTTGCAGAACTTAGTCGGACCTCACGGACCTCACGCTCCCTCCTCGAAGTACTACTTGGCCGGGTATATAGTGAGATTTCGTTCTGCATAGCTCCGCAGAAATCCAATCGCCATTGTACCTATCCTTGAGATAATCTTCAGCTCTATTGAGATCATCAGTAAAGGGTGTTAGCAGGCTTTCGAATTTTAAGTAAATTCTATTCAAATACACCCTCGACCCCAATTGGCCCTTACTTCAAGGCTAATCCATCAAGTTAAACAATTAGTTGCTATGCATCCCTCTAATTACCTATTAATCTAAGCACTGTTCTCTCTACACACTTGGTGAAGACACATTTCCCCGCCAAACCTTGATCTTAAAGACTATTTAATATCTAGGATTCACATATATAGAGATGAAACGTTTAGGCAGATTGCATAATGTAATACCTTTATGGAGAGGATGGCTGACTAGAAGCTACGTCTCATGGATTTGGAAATCAAAATCATATGTTTTCGGCGTGCCGTTTCCACAGACTGAAAGACTACTATGAATACCTAGACGTGTAACATTACATTCATTTACTTGCTGTCAATATTGCTCTCACTGTCAAGTTTATCGACAGTCAAGACCGATAAGATTCTGCATAAGTGATACTTTTCGGACTTATATCAAATTCCCGTTACTGGATCTTAGACATGGTAATTTATTATATCCTCTTCTCTTGGCTATATATAAACGTGCGAGTCCTGCCAAATTACTACGACGAATAAGGTATAGGTCTAGAGGAGCAATATGATCACGGGTAATGAGCCTAGGATAGGATCAGGCGTAGTATGAGGCGCATCAGGCATCGTTGTCTCTGATTGACATTTATTTTGCAGGTTATAAATACCTAGTGATCGTGGAAGTTGAGGTGGAAGTCAAGTGAGCTGGCTTAATGAAAAAAGGTCGATCGAAATCAAAAGCACATAATAGTAAAGGGGCAGTGAAGATCAAACATGTACAAATTCTACTGTCCATAACCTAGAAGCACAGCATTGGTATCCGTTTTACATCAATCGTCATCCTTCCACCAAAACCACTGCATAAGCATAAACGCCAGATCATAGCTCATTAACAAACATCAAAACTACTCATCATCAGACCTCAGAATAGGGTACAAGCTTTCCGAACTCCTCTCCGGCGACACCTTATCAGTCGTTCCACTCATATCTATATCCTCACTCCCTTCCTCATAATACTGTTTCCGTCTCAGTCGGTCCTTGATAAGCTCACGTAGCGCCTCAATCACACGAATATTCTCAATCCAGGCTTCTTCAGCACGATCTTTGGCGCTGTCGCCACTCTCGGATTGAGCGCTGGGAGAGCTAATGCCGGAGAGAGCGGGGTCGATGTTGGATGAGAGAGTGGACTTGTGTTCTGGTCGGGGTGTTGTTTCTTTTGGTGAGGGCGTGCGGGAGTCATCTGAGGATGTGTCCATCATTGATATGTCGCGGGGATGGGCGCTTCGCTGGAGCATGCCGCCGGAGTAGCGGCGACGTTGGTCACTATCGAAATTTGTGCCGAGGGTGGAGGCTGGTGCTGTGGTTGAGTGAGGAGAGTAGCCTCCGGTTACTGCGGGGAGACTTGGGTAGGCGGCTGAGGTGGCTGAGCTGTGTCTTGAAGATGGAGACATTCCGTGGGATGAGGTTGGTGATTGTCCTGAGGTGTACGAGTGTGAGCTCGATGGGGTTAGAGCTGGTGTTCCTGAGTTTGACTGCGAGGAGTGGGTCGCTATCATCGGTGCTGTTACATGTGACGAAGGGACGTGGGAGCTCATGTGGTGACCAAGACCTTGGAGAGCAGTCTGGGGAGGCGAGTGGCTTTGTCTAAAATTGACAGCCTGGTGCGTATAGTGAGTACCTGGCTGTTGAACGCCTGCTGCAGCTGCAGCGTTGGAGCTCTCATAGACAGTCGATTGCATTTGCTCGAGGAACTGATCGATGTTCATCAGATCATTCTTGGTTCTCAAGTTCGGCATCGGTGGGAGAGCGTATTGATGTTGGGGCATTGGGCCTCCGTGTCCCCCGTGACCATCCACTGAAACTAGTTGAGGTCCAGCTGGCATATATTCTCCAAGGGCTCCCCCGTGCATCATGTTCCCTTGCAGAGCCATCAATCTTTGGCCCACTTGCTGATAGGAATTCGGGTCAATTTGTCGGCGTTTGGCATCACCGAAGAAGTCATTTAGAGCTTCATATCCACGTTTCCTGCTGTCGAAGGCTGCATGTTGGCCGAGATCGCCACCATGGTTCACTGGATAGTAGACGGGACCGTAGGAAGATTGTTGTGGAGGAGCATAGTATCCATTGTGGCCGCCCTGTTGAGGATGGCCGTAATGTGGCGGGCCGGGGTGCATCTGAGCACCATGATCGTAGTAGCCTGTTGCAGTAGCTGCAAGATTTTGCAGGTTAGCGACCACTGTTCCATTGTCAGACGTGTGAATGGGGTACAACCAGTAGTTGTTCTACATACCTTTTCCGCCTTGGCCTTGACCATAGCCGGATCGTTGACCGTCCTGATCGGGAGATCGAAGGAGGACCGAGTCGTCGGCATGAGTCTATAAGAATCAGAATAAGGACTTGTAGGTAATTACTTGGGGGATTATGTACCTTTACGTGCTTCTTCAGGTCCTGGGGACGCTTAAAGGCCTTTCCACAGAAATCACATTTGTGAGGTTTCAAAGGGACGTGGACTCGGATGTGGGAGGTGATATGATCGCGCTTGACAGTAGTGGTACGGCATGAATTCCAGCCGCATGTGAGGTTCAAGTTATTCGTGCTCTTTCGGCCAACATGCTTCTCGCAGATGTGGTCCTAATGCAGGTTAGAAAACGGCGAAAATTCCAGACTTTGATAACCTACAAATAGAGCTTCCGGAGAGACACATCTCTCACTGCACTTGTCCCATTGACACGACAGATTGTCATCCGCCGTGACAACTGGTCGAGGAGCCTCTGCTTGAGTAGTTGCCGGCGTTTCCTGCTCTGGCACCGACATGGTGGGGTGAGTTGATGATAGACTGGGGCGGCCAATCAACAAGAGTCGTTTACGTAGCTCGATGCAAAAGCTGGAGTCGCGGTGGATACGATCTGCGGTGTAGGTGCTTCCTTTCTATGAAGCACAGCTGAACGATGAACGAGACTTAATAGTAAATAGAAAAAACAGAGAGACAAGCCGAGGTGAGATCAATCTTTACACAACACCAGAAGGGTGCAAGTGGATTTGGGGGAATGTCTTGGGGTTTATACTTGCCGCCGGGCGGAACGTTCTTTGGTTTCCACTCGTTCTGTTATTTAGCGGCTTGGCAGGTCTTGGCAATTCTCTTTAGGGTTAGGGAAGGCGTGGCTTGAGCAAGTTAGGTGTATCTTTTAGCCACCATCTCGCCATCCATTGCGCCAATCCAGCTCGCTTTCTATGCATTCACCCACACCAAGTTGTGGATTTAGCATCATGTGCTGGATTGAGTCTTGGCAAAGTATTTAGCAGCTCTTGGCAAATAACACAGCCCGTGCGTCCGCGTACCTGGACATACTATTGGGACCCACCTGTTTGAGCTTATTCTATGCGGAAAGTCTTGCGCTCCGAGCCCGAGGGAGGGCCAAGATTCACGGAGGTCCTTGGCTGAACTCCCTCCGACGCCTCAGCCAGAGATATATCGTTTCAGTCCACGTGTGTGAAGGTATCGATCGTACTGTACTGCGTACTAGGTATGAGGTGATGACGAATCGTAGATTGAGCTGTTCAAAGATGGCGCCAAAAGATAAGGTGCACAATGTTCCACCAGTTCGTTCTGAGAGCTTTGCAAGTCAGTTGTCGTTGCTCAGGTATTACTGTCAGTATCTGAATGATTAATGCTTGGATATTATTAGTCGCGAGCGTCTTCACTGCGTGTGTCAACTCCTACATCTCAAAAGCACGATGCTTGCCCATCTCGTACAATATTCCGTTCTCTTACCTTTCGAGTTCGGATTGTTTACCGAGAGTTCAAAAGGGGGCACTGTTTCTTAGATGAGGGGTTTTTGGAGAGCGTTCCTGTTGATGCCCAGCCCTTGGCTCTTGGCCCTCCGCCCCAAGAAATTCCACCCCATTTTGCCGCCGGACAAGAACTTCCTCCTTCCCTTTCGGCCTCCCAAGCTTGTTGCCAAGTTCTTGGCTGGTGGGCTTCTTGGAAATCGCGAGGGCACAGCCTGGATCAGAGGATCCTGATTTGAATTCGACAGATGCCTTTTATGGTTAACGAGTGTAAAGCTTGTGCATTCTACATGCATAAAGATGTGAAGCATTGTCAGAAACGCTAATTTTCTTCTCCTAGTTGCAGATTTCTTTGCTTTTTAGGTTTGGTATTCCTTTTTTCCATATGGAGAAGAAGACCTATATCGTTGCGAGCTACGAACACAGCCCTATTATCTCAAGTGAGCTGGATGACAAATCGGAATAGCTTTTTCTCCTCACAAGGAACTACAAATATCACTTCAAGCCTTAAAGCTGTAGAAAAGCGCAAGGCTATCCTGTTTGGCTGCATCACGACGAGATCACGTGCTTCATCGCTTCGCCCCCTTGTCTTGGCTTTCTGTCGGTGCATTTTGCTATGTATTATATATGCACACTGAAGTTCATATATGTACTACTTCCTTGTACATCTACATCTTGAAGCGAGGATAAATATATATATATATATATAGTGCTTCTTGGCAAGATTGCTAGCAGGTGTTATACCAGTATAGTATATGGAATTGCAAATATGATTATAAGTTGTTGCACCAACTATAATTCGTAGGAATACGGAGAAGGTGCAATTCTGAATACCAGTTGAAGGAACAAACAAACTCTAGGTGGAAAGTTAAGGCTGCCCAAACTTCAACCAATTGGGGATGATGCGCCAGATTCTCGGTTTCTGCTGTGGGGATGGATAATTTTAGAAAGCTCGCAGCTTGTTGCTGTCATATAATTGTTTACTGTCAAATACCGGTTTCGTCTATCTATTCACAATCCTTTATCGGTTGCTAGGTTTCTACTTCCCTCGAAGGCCTGTGCAAAATTCAGCATCTGCAGTTCGTGGGAAGTTGGTATATATATATAAGTGTCATACTAGCCTCATTTCCCCTGCCAGCCAGATCATCAATCGCTCTCTAGTACTATTAGGGTTTGGACTCCATATACTTGCGGTGGTGGTTGTTTCTTTTATACCTTGGTACTAGGGAAGGAAATCTCCAGTTTTGGGAGTGAATGATATGCAGAAAGATCGGGTCATTTACTTTGTGATTTGTTGAGACTTGGGGTTATAAAGTACGGAATAGTTAGATCTTATAGGAAGTAAGAAAGATCAACATAACACCATCTGAAAGTACTACAGAAGTACGTTGGGAAATCTTGCTCAAAGAAAAGCTGCTGCACTTTGAGAACTTTTCCAGTACGAGTAGACTGGTCCCTATTCTGCAAAATCTTGTATGGTGTGTTTCTCTATCATCTTATCTTTTCTTGAATTGCTGTCAAGCCCACTTTTGCTGTCAGCTTTAAGTACTTCGGATAAAGCCATGTTCAAGTAAACGTCCATCTTGATCTTGCTCCGGTTTGCTGAAGTCATTTCCCAAACAATACTACAAGTTTACTCTCTCTTATGATATTGTTTCATTCTAGAACACATAGTTGATAATACTTTCCAGTCGCTTGCATGATGTGGCAAGATAGAATGGCTTGAAGTAATTGATATATATATAAGCATTTGCAATCTGATGGAAACTCACTTCTAGACCTCATGCATTATTGTTGGCTACCACTTGCTCTAAACACATGTCCGCTTGCGAAGGGTATATAATGCTTATACGCACTATACGAAGGGCAGCAAAGACGCAACAATCATCAAAACAGAGCAGAAGACTATGTAATTTTCAGGTTGCTCGCCACGTAATGAAGTTTTTCTCCAGCGTTCTAGTTCTAGTTTAGGAACTGAGAAATCTAGTTTATTGGGTAGACTTGTTGATATCATAGGCAGTTGTGTATGTTTGCTGTCAATCGTAATAAGTTCGCCGTCAAATATATCAGGCGTTCAGATGAAATTGCGAATGGTTTTTGTGCCTCCTAGGGCTGCATAAGTTTCCCCTAATATGTTTAATATCCGGGCTGTCCTTCTATAGACCAAGAAAAGGATAATAATTATAACACCTTAACATGCCTTGCAATACCCATATGCGTCTAGCTGAAGGTAGGAGCAAGTAGGTGGATATAACTTTTTTTTTGGGGGGGGGGGGGGGGGAGATGTCACGAGTTACTTTTTTATGGTATTGGCAACTTTCTAGGAGATGGGATAGAGTGGCTGTGCCGACTTTGCTGTCAAGTGCTAGTTTGTCGTCAATGAATAACAATCGCATGGCTCACTACATGGAAAATAAATATCCATATGAGACTTATGTAGTGTGTAGTTTTCAACTCCTCGGTCTCCGAATGGCTTCACCATGGGTGCCTCCCAATCATATAGATCACCTCGTTGCTCTGGAAGTTACAGGTTTGGCACGAGACAAAAGCTCGCAGAGGTTTGGAAACCTTCGAGTGTTCTAATAAAACGCAATCATTAATGCTATAAGGACCTACGGCAGCACAGCGTCTTACTCTGGGGGTTTCCCTTCATGAAAGGTAATAGTAGGCTGAATCGCCATTCAAAGCACTAACGAAAAAGCATAGAAACGAGAAGTACATGTCTTTATGACCAGGTGCCGCTCGGTTCCTGTGGCATTTGAATCTTTTGATCTATCGCTGTCTTGCAACGGAGCGTCCGGGTCCCTTTTTTATGCATATAAAAATGAAGATCCCAATTGAGAGAAATGATGAATAATAAAAAACGTCAATGGGTCCGCGCAGTGCGATAAGTCTTGCTCTATTTGATCAACCCATCAGCTGTCTGATATCCTCAGGTGGCCACCTAACCTGTGCAAAGCTCAAGCACCTCTTGATACTCTGCAAGAACTTCCTAGTAACCTCATCCCCCATAACGTGGCCTTTATCACTTTCATGCAGCTTCTCTCGAGCACTACGTTCGTGGATACCGACCATAGTAACTCCGATAGGCCAAGCTGCTTTGCCGATACTGAGTCTCAGGTAGCCATCGTTGGCATCAACGTAGCGACGTTCTTGGGCTGCTTTGACAATTTCAACTACGGGCTCGAGAACGCCTTCATCGACGTCGCCTTTTTCGAATTTGCGGAAGAGCTGAATTATGTTAGAGGATTCCGTAGATGACCTTGGGATAGACTTACCGGTGTCATATTCTCTTTACTCTGCACCATAGCATTATAGGCCGCCTTACTCGCAAACGTATCCCTCTTCTCTTTGTCCAAAGCCTCCTCCCACTCCTTAATCACCATGGTGAAATAAGAAGCCAGCTGTCTAAACAAGAACTTCTTGCCCTCTTCATCCTTGGGCACAGTATCAACCTTCATATCCTTCTCCTCCACCAACTCCAAGCTCGTCGGAATGGGCCCCACAGTCATAACCACGCCCAACTTCTTAAACCTCCTTAACCTCTGCTTATGACTCTCCCCAAACAGCTTCGCCGGGTGTCCCATGCCCCGTAATTTCTCCACAAGCTCTTCGTCTGCAATATCGTCCACCTCGACCTCCTCGCTCGTCTCCTTCACCAACTCCGGTAAGCCCAATCTCTTTCTCCGCGCCCTCTCCTCCTCAGCCTCCTGCTCTTCTCTCCGCCGTCTACTCTCCTCTGCAAGCTTCCTGCGCTTCTCTTCTCGCCTTATATTCGCATCCGCTTCATCCTCTTCTCTTTTTCGCTTCTCTGAAAGCTTGCTAGCCTTTGCTTCTTCGAGTTTGCGCTGCTCGGCGTGGTATTGCGCTTCCCGTTCTGCTTCGACGTCGGCCCGCTTCATATACTTTTTGGGGGGCTCGACGGAGGATTTGGAGTCGCCTTTGGAAGGGCGAGCTTTAGATATCTCCTTTGACATTAAAGAGGCAAAATCCATGGTTGCGATTGATGTATAGAGGATGGTTCGGCGGAGATGTGGTGGAGTGCCTTTGGGTGCTGTAAAATGGGTTTCCGCGCCCCGTACTAAATTGAACCAAGATTCACTCCTCGAGCTAGTATTATTCAACTGAAAGAGACCGAGCTTTCAAATCCAGTCTCACGAAATATTGTTCGGGTTTGGGCAGACAAAAGCTTGGGTTTGTAGTTGTATGGAACCGTTTGACAATCGATGTAAAATAAATACTGACGCGACTCACAAACTTCAGCCTCAAACCCTCGACCACCTTGCGCCGGAACCCCTCAAACATTCCTCAACACAAAAATGCTTTTGTAAACTCACAATTTACACATCTAATACTACTCTTCACCATGTCTGTAGCTCCGGGTAAAGTCGACCGCCAACAAACCACACCCTTCTACTTAAAGCTCTTTTACAGAAGCGGCGGATTTCATAGGTAAATAGTCTTCAGCCTCGTCCGCGAATGCACCGAATACTGATGTATTCACACAGAACCGACGAATTCTCTTCCTTGTCTGAACTTCCACCACATTTACAAATATACACCTGGCAAACATGCACGCTCCGCGAACTCTCCCACCTCCTAACATCCGCCTTGCCCTCCCTACTCCCCGACCCAGCAATCGGCACACGTCTCGCGTTCCGCCTCATATACCCCGATACACGCAATGCGGGACAGGGGACAGGAGCAGCTCGGTTTATGACGAAGGATTTGGGCAGTATAGTGATTGGGGATGGTGGACCGGGGATTCTGCCTGATGAGGAAGAGGCTGGCATTGTTGCTGGTGGGCCAGTGGCCGGTCCTCTAGGAGGAGAACCGGACAAGACACTGCAAGATGCGAGGTTTGTGATTGGGGATTATGTTAGTTGTGCTATACTGCCGCCGTTGCCTAATGGAGGGGTTGCACCGCCGCCAGCGGGGGCTGCGAGGGGTGGTGGGGGAGGATTTGGAGGACCGAGGGAGAATGGATTTAATGGCGGGTTTAGGGGGAGAGGTGGGATGAGAGGTGGCAATTTTGGGCAAGGCGCTGTACCGACTGGTGAATGGAGAAGAGGGGAGAGAGTACCTGAGGGGCCTTCGGGAGGGAGGGGACGTGGTTTTGGAGGGGGTTTTGGGGGAGGAGGAAGGGGCAGATATTGAAGGAACACACTTGATGATACCAATACTAAAACGACACCGGATAACTACAGAGAAACGGGAACTTAGATGGCTTCTCGGAGTCTCAGTCAAAAGGACATATTCAAACAGCTAGGCAAGTATCCCAGGGCATATCTAGAATGCCGCTTATGGCAATATTAGTGCAATTCGAATCCATTGATCACATTCGTCCAATACTGTGTTTGATTTGAGGTCTCGAATGGTGTTCTTCCGCATATGTACAGCCCATCTCCTCCAACCCATGCCATCATCTCCCTTTTAATATTCCACAATCGTATCACCTCTACGCTTTCCCCTCATCTCAAACTTTCCCTAATAAAATATCAGTCAAGTCCTCACCTTCGCTTCCCAAAACGTCCTCACCTCGTATTTATATGCGATATACCCTATCAAAGCCGGGAACGCAATCATGTACGCAAAGGTAATTCTCGCAGTCCGACCAGTCCACCTGAAGTACTTGTGTCGATTGGTCACCATATCTGCCCTTTCTTTAGCATCATGGCTTCATCGTTATCGTGTGGGGAGGGGGATGTACTGTTGTATTTGACCAACGCCGGGTCGAGCGCGACGGCTGAGACGGACTGTTAGCATGGATCTTCGTCGTAGGATGGGATTGACGTACAGTGGTGACCGTGGCCCGCCATGATGATTGTGTTGAATGCGAGGTGGGAGAGTTGTGTGGGTTATGGAGGTGAGGTTCAGGATTGAGCTTCGTGATGTTAAAGCTGGGGCTGCGGTGATGCGAAGCAATGATTAGTCAGCACGCATGTTGCGGTACGCAGCGCAGCGCAGCTCCCCTCCCGCATTCTAAGGTATTACCGATGGCTTGTTATGTGTATATAACAAAATAGAGCAATTTTGCACAAATTCAACTCTGGCCGACATGGCGCAGTGGTAACGCGTCGCACTTGTATACCACTCTTGGCATTTAATGCGAAGGTAAATAATATACCTTCAGATGTTCAATAAACTCATCTAACCATAATTATCTGTAGATCCCTAGTTCAATTCTGGGTGTCGGCAAGACATATATTTTTTGCTTATATTTTTTATCTCTTTGAGATGGACTATGAGGCTTAGTGGTACCCGTTGGCCTGAGGAGATGGTCAGGGGAAGTGGGGGGCGCCGTTGGTCTACCACTGCGCCGTGTCGGCGGCGTTAGATGTCCAAATAGGGATGTTTTTCTTCTTAGGTTATCGTTCTTCGATTTCGATTCTTGAAGGCAGGAATGGCGGGTTGAACAGAAAGCTGTATACCTTATGCTAATTTTCTGGTTTCCTAAATCCTGATTCTAATTATATGGCTCGAGAATAAAATTTCTATTAGATGGTCTTTTGATCCTGAAGATCAGATTGGGGGTGGTATGGACATACCGGAAAAGAGATTGAACCGCAGGAAGAAGTAGATACAAAATATCAAGAGCCAATAATTTGAAGAGACAGATTATCCAACTTACCCAAAGCCTTTTGCTGGAAGTCATACATTTCTATTGCCACACCGAGGCCATTCTCGTGCCTAATGCTTCCTTTCCGTTAGGCTGTTATCCAGTACATACTGCCCATACCTGCCAGTTTCTGTATGGAAATAGTGTTGGAATGCAATAGCCTAGGAATGTATAGGGCCTATAGGCCCTATATATACAGCGTACTACCCACTGTAGAACAGCAGTCAAATTTTCCCTAGAAACAACAAATAGGCCGATAGCAATATCAGCTTGTTTCTGATACCTCAGGTTCGACGGTCTGCCCTACACTTCTATACCAACTTAATCGACACTGAACTATGGGTTCCCAATACCGCGACAGTCACGAAGACTCTGCTGTTCCTAAAAAGGACAGCGATCATACTAACGCTCCACCCTCCAAATTCGAAGTCGTCAAGGTTTACGATCCTAAAGGAGAAATGATATTGCATCGCCTCTCTTCCTCCACCCCTTTCACATGCGGTCTTGCAACACAGAGAAGACAGCGAAGCTTGTGGCTACATACCACAATCAATGGACCGACCTTCGCTGCAACGCTTGTTATGGCAAGCTTTTCTCAGAAAACTGAGAGCCGGTCGCCTGGACGGGTTCGGCAGGAGTGAGGGAAGATAGGGCTCATACTTGGATGGGGGCTACTGGTGGAAGGCTCATACGAGTTTGGACGGCGAAAGGAGATCGACAGTGGTGCTGTAGGTCGAGGGATATCGTTAATATATGAAAGAAGGCTCTGAGGGCTACAATATGACTGACTCACTCTGCGAGATTATGAAGAAAAGTATTATAATCAAAATGCCGTTGTTTTTTCATAGCTATTTCTCCACAAGTATTCGATTTACAGAGAGAAAATACTAGACTTATAGTCATACTGTCCATCACCCCGTCGATGGCGTCGATGGCCACTTCAGCTATTCCTCCCTGCTCTATGGAAGCGTAAGAGTGCTGCGCTGGAGGCAGATGAGCCAGAGCAAGAGCCAGAAGTGGCACGGGTGATCGATGCGCCAGTACCATGGAGGGCACCAGTTGCGCGGATGATATCAGACTGTTGCACAAAAGAGTAGAATCATCTCTCATTTCCTTCAATTCGAATTTGGTCTTTTGAATCAGAAGTAGTATTATACAACCAGATGCGTGGGTTTCTCACCACGTAGGGATGGACGTTACAGCACATAGGACTTGAATAATATTAGGGAGGAGTCTACTCTCTAGCAAAATATCTAAAGTTAATCTTTCAGTAGAATTTTACACTAATCTGCTAAGGTTATAATATATTTGATCATAACTTCCCATAGGTAAAGATGAAGCTCTAATGAAATATCACTGACTTGTAAAATGATCCAAAGGGAAGTGTAATTCTAAATATCTTAAAAGGCGCTTTCTATCATTTCTAAACTCTGAACGACTAAAAATTCCTAAACTAGAAGCAAACGCAAGGAAAGAGAAAATACTCTAATGCTATTCCGGATTATTACTAGTTGTAACACCCCCTTACTATCTTCCGCTATTATATCTTCTTAAATTTCCATCGTCCGTACTTCAACTTATGTTCTTGTATCTTTTACTTCTACCTCGTATCCAACTATCGTTCTATATATCATGCTAAAGTCCATTTCTACAGATGCTGAACAACCAATGACCCCTCTACGAACCCCTCCTTTCGATAAGCGATTAAGTTTAGTCATAAGTCACATGCTGACATCCTTCATTCTGTAACATTTACTCAGACAACGATCAATCGTCAAACATATCTAAAGGAGAGCATGACCTTCTATGGAGCGTAGAGAAATTCACAATCCTGGCAAGCTTTGACGAATGTGGGCAAAAAGATTGTGGCGAAGTACTTGGTAATCTACGCGTAACGCTAACTAGATTGTACAAATCCTTCTCATTAACACAGCAAATCACAACTCTAGCATCATCACGTCACTAATTTGTTGTCAAACTTCGGCGTAGACGAACAGTTCAGCGCCTGATACGTCTGCTATAATTTTGATTCTAATTTTGTAATCACCACATAAGCCAAACCCTACCAGTATTTGTGGTTCAAGCACAGCGACTGGTTCAGGGTCCGATAAACGAGTAACTTGGTCTGGTGAGCGAAAAACAATTGCGGCTAGAAATCCAGCCACCCGAAGCCTTGCGCCAGGTGGCTTGAATAGTGTTGAGCCAAAGTTTCACTGGTGGTTATGGCGTCTTTAGGGTACAGCATTGACAATTTTGAGAGAACAAGCAGAACAACGACGAGTTTTGACCACAGAACCGCCTGGAGAACCCAGCTTTTCTCCTTTTTCTAAGAGGGAAAACCTAGGTACAAATATGCGAAGTAAGCCCCTCACCATCCTTCCAGGGTCTCACCATGTTCAGGGGTCCAGTGGCTCCGCATAAAGCCGACCCCAGTCTAGTTTTCGTCTGAAATTAAGAAAAGGGAGATCTTATTAAATTTGGGCAACTATTCGTAGCTGCCGCATCCTGAAAAGCAAAGTTGCGATTGCAAGCGGTGACGAGTCTGACGACTCACATTCGCAAGTGAAAGAAAAGCCTTTGAAGCCCCTTTTCTCTCCGTTGATGCGCAACGTGAGCGTGACCGCAGATTCGTTGCTTCCAGATTAAGGAGTAAATTACTGGGTGAACTGGGAAACAATACATTGGCTTCTCCGCTTTTTCACTCAAGTTGTGTTCTTATTCCCTTACAGTTTGCTCAGGGGAAAAGTTGGAGAGGGCGGATCTGACTGGCTGGTGCCACGTTCGGCTGTTGTGTTCCTGCGTTAGTGGGCGACAAAGCATTTTAATGGGACAGGGTTCCGGAGCCTTTGACCCTCACCGGTGCTCCTTCGGTGGGCCACATCCCTAGAATATCTTCAGCCACGCGAAGCCTGTTTCGATGAACACATGGACGTTGTGCTGTGTAATTGGCGGGATGTGTCGAAATCTGGCACTTCCACCATCGGACGTTCAGAAGGCTAGCCGTCACTGGCCCGTCGAACCCACTAGCCCCTATTCGCGAGATTCCCTTGGTGCACCGTTGAGCATGGATGGTTGCAGATTTGCCGCCGCAAGCCAGGGCTCCACGTCTGCGGGATCAACATGGAAATGATGTTCCTTTTGCCCCATGTTCTTTGAGCGTAGTGGGTATTTGAGTGACAAGGGACACTTCTTCCCTGCGGGCCCACATCTGTAATCTCCCAGGAGACTTATAGGAGCCTGTTCTCAATCCTCTACCTTCTTTCTTTCCTCTTCAGCCAAACAAGCCAATCTTCAACTCACATCAATTCCTTGATACCCTTTGACCTCGGTCGTCCATTCTTTAAAGAATCAATTATCTAATTACCGCTCTTCAGCAACTCAACAAAAACCTCACCCTTTTTTCACCTCAACTTAAATCTTTCAAGATGCAATTCTCAGTCGCCGCCGCTGCCTTCATGGCCACCGCCGTCATGGCAACTGCCCCTATCTCCCAGATCGGTGATGGACAAATCCAGGCTACCACCGCCGTGGCTGTCTCATCTGCCGCTGATGTTTCGACCGTCCAGGTCACCGTGTCGTCCACCATCACCAGCTGTGCTGCAGACATCACCAACTGCCCAGCTCGTTCGACCGTGGTCTCGGTCAGCAGCTACCCATCAGTCGTCGCCAGCGTCTCCAGCGTCGCCTTTGTCAACAGCTCCGCACCAGCTGCGCCAGCTACCTTCAAGCCATCATATGTTACCCCCGCTGCTAGCGCCCCAGCTACCACAGCTACTGGTTCATCCGGCGCTGCCACTTCCCCAGCACCAGCTGCCCCTCTTCTGTCCACCATCACGATCTCATCGTGTGTGCCAACTGTTATCTACAGCACTGTAACCGTTGCCCCAACTGTCGCAACTGTCTCCAAGGCTGCTGGAGCCCCAGGCCCAGTTGCCAGCGGAACCGGCTCCATTGCCCCAGCAAAGGTAATACTCTCACTCAACCTTTGTCCAAGAAACCATACTAACTCGATGACAGAACGCCACCAGCCCTGTCGCCACCGGTGCTCCCGTCACCTCCCCATCAGGCACCCCATTCACTGGTGCTGCATCTGGTCTCTCGGCATCATTCAGCTTCGCTGCTTTTGCCGGTGCCGCTGCTTTCTTCCTCGCATAAGTCATCTGTTGTATTTGACGCCTTTACTCAACCAGCTTTGGCGGGGTCAGGCTATGGCTTTAACGAAAAGGGGTGTTCGTTGCTTGTAAACCATGAAAGGCATGGGACATGACTATTGTGGCTTAGATTCTTGTAATTTCTTAATTGATGCCTTTGGTATCCAAGACAGGCTCTGGTCTGGGACGTTTTGGAGTAAGTATCATTGGGTTATAGCTTTGATCCTCCAGTTCGTACCAAATTCAAATTCTCAGATAAAACATTCACTTCTTGCTTGACTAAACAATATTGCTTGCCGTGATGGACCCAATCGTAAACATGTCACCCAAGTTCATGAGCTCGTTTGTAAATATGGGCGCCCCAGATTGATTGCAGGAATTTACCCACTTTGCGAGTACGTAGTACAGATGCTTGCTTGCAGGTTGGCCGGAGATTACGGTCTTTTTCGTGGAACAACGGTAGCCAAGTGTGACCTTGGACGGCAGAGATTGAAGCAGGGTACCCTCACCTTCCTGAACAAGTCGCCTGTTCCTGCACCCCGCCCATGAATAAAAATGATGTGATGGAAATCATTGATGATGATGTGTCGATCAAAGATGTGCTACATGGTCCAGACTTGGACTCTGGGTCAAGAATAAAAAAAGACCTTGCGAATTGGGAAGTTCAGGGTAACATCACGTGGAGACTCCCTTGAAGACTTGCCTCAACAGCTTATGGTAGCTGTGGTGGTGTCTTGAAGAAGAAGCTGCACAGCGCCGTATACGAGTATTAACAGATGACTGCATTGGCTACATCCCCTGTTCGATCTTTTCAATGAATGCACATACGTCCTGAGAGACTCTCCAAGGTTGTCGCTGGCCATATGCTGACCATCTGATGATCTGAGTCTTGTAGGAACTTTCCAGGCTGAAGACGAAAGATGGGTAAGAAGATACTTGTAAGGATGAATGGGTAAGCCGTCGGCGATGGGGTCAGCTTATTTACAACTCTTTGAAATACAATAACAATCAAACGACCTTCAACCACGCGACGAGAGGGTATTTAATTTCAGCCTGTTTGCAACTTGATGTGACTGCAACGAAGTACAGCTGCAAATATCATTTTCATGATCTTTTATGAATGTTTACATCTTGGCGGCTCACTCTGATTGGATCTAATCTCAACGTCCCTCCCTTGGGTACAGAAAGACACAGATGAGTGACCAGAGCCAAGCCTCAAGCTCAAGTCCAAGCCTCGGTTGATGTCAATTAGTTTCAGCCTTGCGAAGTCTTGAGGTCAACTTGACACCTCTTGGACACTCCAAGAATACCTATTCGCTTGAGTGAGGTCCAACGTGTACACTCACTCGTGTTCGGGACACATCAACAACACTCTGAATGGCTGTGCCATGGCTTCCTGTGGAAGGAGGCGATATTCCGTTCTTGATGATGTCAAGTGCGATGATGAGCCTCGCTCCTTCCTGGCAGCCAATGAGGCGCAAACATCAACCTCGAGGGAGAAACCACAACAAAAAATTATACAACAGTCCATCCACCTTCACGGGCCATTGTTTTGCACGCGGCTGATATGATTAATCCATAGCAGCAGGCCCTATATGGCTACAAGGCAAGGCTGGAGATACTTTTCATTAGTGGATACGGGCTTATCGCTTCAGTACACATATTCCGTGTATTCCGGCGCGCGCAGCCTCTTGCGATCCTCCTCGCTTTCTCACGCGCTGCCTTGTTCCAACTTGTCCGGACCGCGGTACAAACAATGTCAGAACACGTCACCCATGCCGGGATGGGCCGGGACTCAATCGAAGACATTGAAATACAAGCAACTTCGTCAAATCACACGCAACTTCCATCCAATCTATCCTCCTCCAACCTCGAACTGCCGATCCAATCGTATGAAGTTCCAGAAGATATGACCATTTCCGAGTTCCAAGATGAAGATGTTTGGTCTCTCATCGAACCTGCCATCAGCCCTGTTGCAACCCGACTCAGGTCTGCAAATACACCGGCAACAGAAAAGGCCGCTGCGATGGAGGAGGGTGGGGGTTTTTTCGATAGCGACGTAGAGACACCTCCAGCCACGGCCATGAACGAAAATCGAATTGATCCTGTAGAAGAAACGGTATACGAACCACCAACAAGTGATGAAGATTCAGGAGAAGCTGGACCAGACAAAGTACAACGAGGTTCTGCAAAAAATGGATTATACTTAGAGAAATTGCCCTTCAGACTCGAGACGCCAGCCATCCCATCACCTTGGCATGCAGCCCCGAAAGTCCCTAACGTACAGCAAAGTCAATCATCATTGGCAGGCGTATTTAGCAGTGCCAGAACTCGGTCGCGCTCTGGTAGTACGGAGGCACTGAAGAAGTTCTTACCTAGTCTGCCCTCTATGGCACAAGTGGGAAACCTTTTTGGATCATCTAGTTCCCAAAGGCCCAGCTCCAGAGATGCTTCTCCATCGAATGAGTCTAGGTATGGCCGGTTTGCTCGCTCAGCTACCATGTCTGTTTGTAGTAGCCAATCTCCGCCTAGCAAGTCTACTACTAAACCTCATGCCCATGGACCCATAATCGCAGCTCGGCCCCATCTGTCAACAATGCAAAGTGCCACAGTAACCCAAAGACCCAAAGCTGTAAGGCGATCAACGTCGAACGATTCATTACTTTACCATTCCTTATCAAGGGCCTCATCTCTTGGTGATGACACTCGATTCGAAAGCCAACATGATCAAGTCAACTCACGTGTGAAAGCCATCAGGGACTCTTTACAGGATCGATCTAGCTTCAAGATGCCACAGTTGCCAAGCATGCCCAGTATTCCAAGTATGCCCCGTGTTTCCAGTTTCGGTTTCAACAAGAGCTTTTTGAATGTCAACAATGTACCTGCCAGATGGAGACCAGAAACTGATATGTTACCAGGGGTTTTACCAGGAACTATAACCAAGAAGAAGCCTTCTGGCGCAATTACCCAGCCTACCGTGGCCTCTGGAATGGTTGGGGCTGCAGTTTCGCAGCCAGAGGCGGCTATTGATACTGCTAGACCTCTTGGCGATGGCTCTAGTGCTTTAGACCGGGCCATGGAGACTCTCACTGGAGACGTAGTGATGATGGGTGGCTATAGAGGTTCGATACTCCGGTCAGCGAAAACGCAACGTCAAGTCTGGGTCCCTGTCAAAGTGGGTCTAAATATTCGGAAAGTCGATTTGGAGGTAGGCCTTGACCCAGAAGACGAAGAGAGGATGGAAGAGACAATTTACCCATCGGGAATGCTTCAAAATATCGGCCCCGTCGATATATCGAAACGTTTATTCAAGCGCCTGAGCGAATGCGAGAATGCGAAGAATGGCAAGTTGAGAGTTTGGGACTATGGTTATGATTGGCGGTTAAGTCCGCATCTGTTGAGTAAACGACTCAAGAAATTCCTGGAGGGATTGCCCTCCAATCAACCATCAAAAGATGACTCAATCAAAGGGAACGGTGGTGCCTTGGTTATTGCACACAGTCTGGGCGGTTTGATCACTCGCCATGTGGTCAACGAGTGCCCAGAGCTATTTTCCGGTGTCATCTATGCCGGTGTGCCCCAATCATGTGTGAACATTCTGGGCCCAATACGAAATGGCGATGCTGTTTTGTTAAGTTCACGGGTCCTCACAGCTCAAGTCAATTTTACGTTAAGAACAAGTTTTGTCTTACTGCCTGAAGATGGCAGCTGTTTTGTTGACATAAACACCAAAGAAAAGTACCCGGTGGACTTTTTTAGCTTGGATGATTGGATCAAGTACCGCTTCTCGCCTTGCACTGACCAGCCATTACCCCCTCGAAATCAACAAAGCAGCGCCCTTGGTAGCTTACTCAACATGTCAAGTAGTCTTTTAAATTTGCCAATACCTGGCAAGAAATCAATCTCTGCAGTCTCGAGCCCCAATTCGCCAAACTTTCCCGCCAATGGCTTCGAAGATAATAGAAGCCATTCTCCACCCACGAAGACTACGCGTGCAGCTGACATCCTGCATAATCTCGAAGGAGGGAACGACCGCACTCTCGCGCCTCAAATGGGCAGCAACAGCAACCCAATGAACAAGGGCCAAAGCACCTCTCAATCCGTCTCTACAGCCGTTACCCTACCGCGGGACAAAGCCATCGCCTACTTGAAGCGTACACTCGCCGAAACGCTTAAGTTCAAGAAAGAATGCCACTACAAGCCTGAACTGGGGGAGACGAATAGATACCCTCCACTAGCGCTGATATACGGGAAGGGTATCCCAACGTGTAATGGTGCCAAGGTTGATGGGAGAGAAGGCATTCCGTGCTCGGATGTCTATGATAATCTGTCGTTTGCTAGTGGTGACGGCGTGTGTCTTGCCAAAGAAGCAATGCTACCGCCGGGTTATAAGGTTGCGTATGGAGGGAGGGTCAACAGTGATAGGGGACATGTGACGTTACTTGGGGATCTAAATGCGGTCGGGATGGCGATGGAGGCTGTTATGAAGGGAAGGGCGAAGGGGATTGGGTTGGGGGTGGTGGAAAAAGGTGATGCTTGATGAGGGACGAGGGGTGAGAGAGATGAGAGATGGGAGTTGGGAGGTGAGAGATGAGAGATCTATACAAGTATATACCTGGGCAGGATAGAGTAGAGACGAGCAATCGTCACAGCTGCAAAATAAGAGTAGCGAGTGATGTTCTATTAGCGGAGATGAATGAATGAACAATGCATACTGTATCAAAATTGAGCAAGAAGAAAGGAAAGCCACTTTTTCAGCCACTTTTCCAACCCTCTGCTTGTACAATTTCGGCATCAGATGATCTAGGAGGAAGTGGTTGATCACCACCTCACTGTGAACACATGAGTGACTTGGCAGCTCGGGTAAGACCCGATCCGAAGAGAAGAAAGAAAATCGAGTAAAACTGCCGTTTTCGGTCGGTACGTCACCTCTCATGTCACCATTTGGCCGAGGTTCATTTACTTCTTATCTCCTACTTAAGTGCGATCTCAGTTCCTCCGAAGCCGATAAGCTTCATTACTCCACTTCACACACGCCGCATTTGTCTTTCGTATATATAACAAGTCTTCCTATCCATTGTTTCTCAATTGGTTATCTAAAAACAATTTTGATAACTCTCTTATCCATCTTAATTCCAATTCCAATTCCAATCAATTGGTAATACATCACAATGGCATCAAAAACCCCCGCACCAGCTTCAACAGAGCAGCCGAAATTCAAGCTCTACTGGTAAGTCCACCAAACTCCCTCCCCTCTCACCGCAAACTCACTCACAGCAATCAGGCTCGAGCAATCGCGCTCCCAACGCATCCTCTGGCTCCTGGAAGAACTCAACCTCCCCTACGAACTGCAGATCTTCAAACGCGACCCGACAACCCATCTCGCGCCACCAGAGCTCAAAGAGATCCACCCCCTCGGCAAATCCCCCGTCTTGTCCATCACGCCCCCCAACTCTCCCCCCATTGTCATCGCCGAATCGGCGCTGATTATCGAATACCTGCTTGATCATTTCGCGGTTGGGAGTAAGAGTACGCTGTTGCCGAAACGGTATGAGGAGGGCAGGGAGGGTCAGGTTGGGGGCGAGACGCAGGAATGGCTGCGGTTTAGGTATTTTATGCATTATGCTGAGGGCAGCTTGATGATTATCTTGATGTTGTATATGGTTGCTAGTAGTAAGCTTCCCCTTCCCTCTTCCACATTGATTTCTTCCATATCAATCAAAGTGGACTTGCATTGATTGCATCCATCTGGTTTGAGAAGTGAAACTAGACCAATGGATTTTAATGGGAGAACCAAATAGACATCAAAGCCTCACCCGTTCCCTTTTTCATAAAGCCCATCACAACCCGCGTCGGCGACAAGATCATGACTTCCTTCGTCGAACCGAACTGCATAACGCACTTCTCGTTCCTCGAGTCCCAGCTCAAGACCTCGAGCGGTCAATATCTCTGTGGTAAACATCTGACCGGTGCCGATATCCTGCTGAGCTTCCCTTTGATAGCCGCAAAGGGCTCGGCGCTCACTAAGGAGAAATACCCGGGCGTGTGGGCGTATACTGAGAGGTTGGAGAAGGAGAAGGGGTATGAGAAGGCGGTGGAGAAGATTGTGGAGATTGACGGCAAGTTTGAGGCTAGTTTGCCTAGGTAGAATGTGTTAGTTAGCTAGTTGGGTGGCTAGGTTCTTCAATGTGTTATGATTGGAGGTGTGGGTTAGATGAAATGTGTATATATCCTCTCCGCTAGACAATTTGCACGCGCATGCTTGGTTTATCTTTGTATTTCCAGTGAGCAGATACAGGAGAGGTAGCTAGTGTAACATTTATATTATAGTTATGATTACGCATAGGAAAGAGGCCTGTTCGTACTCCAGTGATAGAAAATGTAGATATAATGTGGACGTGGATATGGGGCGAGGCATCATCTTCAAATAATCTGGCATTGGTTTTCCCGCTGTTGATGATGACAACGCATGTCTCCATTCATTGCTCCTTCTACCTAGAATAGCTACTGAGAGTAAATAATCTGGTGGGAAGGGCGGCAATGATAAATCATAACGGAAGGTCGAAGGCGAATTACTAGGAGCAGCAAGCTATGTAAAAATACACTTTCACTTCAGATATTGATACATGACATATCCCGGGAATCGAGAGACATTCAAACTCTCTAGTCCTGTTTCCGACGGAGTATGATATCCAAGTGAGCTGATGCGCGTGCAATTACTTTAACCTTATAATCACCACTAAAGCCCTGCAGCAAATGCTCTTTTTTAAAAGTCTGTGATCGATATTCCAACCCCTTTACTCTTCGCTAAATCTAGCAGGTCACCGGCAACAGCTGCATCCATAACCGCAATCCCAACACATTTATAGACCACAAATCCACTCTCCAACCACTCCCTCGCACCCTCTTTCCCGTCCCCCCCCAGCGCCACAAGCTCTCCAACATCAACCAGACTCTCCGGCCCAATCTTCCCCTGGATAATCTCTCCCGCCTCCAAGAGACACGACTTCCGACTATCCACCACAATAACACCCCCTTTGCCCCCGGTGGGATGGAAAGTAGACGTAAAACCCGCAGTTGAGTTAACTACAGTAGTGAAAATAACAGGATCCAGTTCCGTCATCTCCGCACTATGTGATCCGATAGCCGTCACGTAACACCCCCTCTTCATCTTCTCCTCCGAGACCAGGAACCGCGCCGGGAACAGTGGCCGCGCAGACGGCGTACAGCAAAACACAACATCAGCATCCTTCAAGCTCTCCTCAACCCTTTGCGCGTACCCGAAAATCAGCGGATCCAGGACCTCAAACCGCACCTTCGCCCCCACCTTCGAACCCGCCTGATCATGCCCATCTCCCTCAAGCGTCTTCAGCATTTCCTCAGCTCTACTTGTTGATCGATTCACAATAGTAACCATCTCGATCTCCTCCCCCCTCAGCAAAAGCGCTAGCCGGATATGCCACAGCGCCTGTTTGCCCGCGCCGAATACGACGATCTTCCCCGTGCGCCGGCGGTCTTTGAATAGGATCATGGACGCGAGACTCGTTCTGAACGCAGTCAGTTCTGCTGCGTTTAACAGTCCCGTCGCGTTTCCGCTGGCATCAAGCAGCGTCACGACACCTTTTGGAGCCGGAGCCGGAGACGGGGGTTTGGATGTTGATCCTGATGTTGATGTTGATGTTGATGCTGGTGTGGCGAGGGGCAGGCCGATTATTTTTGTGCCAACGGTAGTGCAGGAGGTGAAGGGCATGAAGAGCGTTAGTTGCCCAGCTGGGCTCGTGATTCCTGTGCGCTGGGGCTGGTAGCGGGAGGCATAGCCGGCGGTAGAGGCATTGGCGGAGTATTCTGAGAGGGCGCGCGCGAGGTTCTCTGTGATTTTGAGGATTTCTGCGCGGTTGAGGCTGCAGAGGAGGGATTGGATTGTCTCGTCGGAGAGGATGGTGAGAGTCATGATGATTGGCAACCAACCCTCTGCGGGGGGTTGAAAAGAAGCCGCTCTGGAAAGGTTGAGACGAGGTACGTTTATGACTCCGTTACCCAGTGTTGGCTATGGCTAGTCCCGTTAGTATACGAATCTACTGATTTCGCTTTTGTTAAACTCTTGTTAACCTCACATGGTTCTTCCTAATATCAAAACTTCTGCGCGCCGTCGTGTTGCGTGGGGTGGGATCTGCGGGGTCCAATGGCCGGTCTGCCGTTCCGGTTCTCGGGAAAGAAGCAAAATCTCACACGAAAACATATGGAGCATAAAAGTAAAAGTGCAGTATCAAAGAGATGATTCATCACTGGCGATAGTTAAAATGTACTTGCTCTAGTGAGCAAGCTCGTTCTGTCACTTTTGGGAAATCCAAAACTTGAATAGATATCGGCATGGAGCTGCTTTGCTAGACTTATACCGGAAACTTGGAAGACATATATACGGTATTTGGAGATTTGATGTAATTGGCTATTTTTGTATTGTTCATTGAAGTGTTCTTTTCGCTTTCTCTCTTCGAAGAGAGAAGAATCGTGTAAGTGTACATACATCCCATCTCCGCTTCATAGCACAGTAGACCCGAAATCTATGTAGCAAAATTTTAATTCGTAGTTCTTGAAACTCCCAGAAACACTTTCCTAGCCCAGGCAAAATTCTGCCAGCTCTTCCAAAGAGATCTTCCAACCTTCGAAATCGAAGAAATTTTCTGCTTCTTTTTGCTTCTTGTGGAAGTAAATAGCGAAAAACATGACTTTAAACCAATCGTGTGTAGCTGCGAGGTCCAGGATATGATTGTCGAATGACAACATGGCAGCCGCGATTGTAGGATGTTGTTGGCTGAACATGGCGCTGACGATGCCGACATAGATGAGGAAGCATTTAGACCATTGCTGGGGGTTGTCGCCGAACATACCGTGCAAGACACCTTGGGATGCCGGATTGGAAGGTCTACTGTTGCTTGGGGGAGAAATAGCTTTTGGTAAGACTATTCAGGAACTCTACATGTCTGGATCCTGCCTTCAATTTGGTGAGGTCTTCGGCACTGAATTCGTTCTTGACAATGGCCATTATCTACTCCTTCGGCTGCTCGGGGAAAAGCTTGAACACTTCTTCAGCACAACGCACTTTGACATCCTCTTCCTCCTTGAACTGCTGGTAGAATGAATGGCGGCCTTCGTTCTCCGCAATAATGGAATCGAGCTTTACTACGCGGGTCTTTGTGGTAAGCAGAGTCGTAGCAACACTAGCCCACGCCTTCCGTCCATAGTACTCTTCGCAAGAGGCAATCAATTTCTTAGTTCGTACACTGGTGGCCTTGAAGATACACTGCTTGATTGCCACTTCGTGGGCATGGGCATCTTGCGAAGTAGTAGGAGCAGTAGGAGCGGTGCTATTGATGCAAATCCTCTTGTTTGGCTAGATCGAAGGGGCAGGAGGATTCGTAGCCGGAGAGGACCGACCGTGCTTTGGCATACTGACAGTGTTGCTGGTAAACGCTCGGAGAGTAGCCATTTCGTCAAGATTGTGTGCCGTATTGGTCGAGAGCATTCAAACGACCAGGCAATTGAACTTTTGCAAGAAGGTTTGTCGTGGACAACTGCAACATGAAGCGAGCAGCAGAACTTCTGCTTCTGACTAAGGTACCCTTAGTCATGGCAGAATCTGGTATCAGGTAGCGGTCACTTGAGCCGGTCCCATCGCGGTGAATTTCTTGGAAAGCATGTGCCAGCCCGGCGTGGGCTGGCAATTTCGATAGAAACCAAGCGGCACGTGGAGCAAGCCTTTTCAAAAAACAATTTGAGTCAATGACTAGACTTCGAACGGAATATAAATTGCAGATTTTGGGAACAAAGTTTAAGCGCCGACATATCAATAAAGGTGCTCATTGAACCAAACCTACCCGCCTCTATCGTTCAGGGGCTCGCTTATTGGTCCTAGAAAAGAAAGCTTTAGTTCGTATAGAGACTTTGAGATATCCTTATGTTCTAAAATCAGGCCTGACTATGCTGCATCTAACGCCATTTCAAATGGGCCGATAGTCAGTAAAGTGCTGATCCTTATATGCAAAAAAACAAATAAACATATAGTAAGCTTTCCTGATGAAGTTTCCGATGAAGTGTTTCGATGAAGGGTTCTGTGGTTTAGTTTGCGATAAAGTTGTCTTCGGAAGGGCGCCTCCCACTTTCGATATATTAGCGGCTTTTACCAACCAGTACCTGGCCTGGTGATCATTGTGGCTGCAGTAAGACTCTTATTGCTCATTACTAGCCAATTGAACTTACTTACGTATATAAAGGCGCCTCGTTCTCGAAAACTCACGGCTCCCTAAGTTAACTTACTCGATCATCAACTCACTCTTTCACATTTTAGCCTACCAAACTCTCATCCTCTTGCACAATATCCTACCATGCGCTTCTGCCGTACCATCACAATAGTAGGAGCCCATGCGGCCGGCGAAGTCGGCGATGTAATCACCGGCGGCGTCCTCGACGTCCCAGGGAAAACAATGTACGACAAAATGATGCATTTCTGGAAAGAAAAAGACGGCCTTCGCCAGCTCCTCCTCAACGAGCCTCGAGGTCGTTCATCCATGAACACAAACCTCATCCTACCCGCATGTGATCCTCGAGCAGATGTCGGATTCTTAATTATGGAAAGTGATGAGTGGGCGCCGATGTCAGGGTCAAATACCATTTGTACGACTACGGTGCTGCTGGAAACGGGTATGGTGCCCATGGTGGAGCCGGTGTCGAGGATCGCGCTGGATACGGCGGCGGGGTTGGTGAGGGTTACTGCTGAGTGCGAGGCTGGGAAGTGTAAGAGTGTTTCTTTGGATAATGTGCCGTCTTTTGTATTTGCCTTGGATCTGGAGGTTGATGTGCCGGGTTTGGGAAAAGTACTGGTGGATATTGCGTGGGGAGCAATGTGGTTTGCTCTGATTGATGTTTCAGCTGTTGGTCTGAAAATCGAGAGTCGAAATGGGGCGAAGCTGGTTGAAGTGGGAGAGAGGGTTAAACGCGCTTTACAAGCTCGGATTAACCCGGTCCATCCAGAGAATCCGGAGCTTGGAGGAGTTAGCGCTGTTGCGTTCACGGCTCCTTTGGAGGACTGGCAGGATGGTAAGACTGCGGTGAATACAGTGGTTATCTCTCCAGGTCGACTGGACCGCAGTCCGTGTGGGACAGGAACAAGTGCTCGATTGGCAGTCCTGCATGCGAAGGGTCTTTTGAAGGAGAATGAGATTCTGCGCCATGAAAGTATCACGGGTACAGAGTTCTTTGCCCATATTCGAGGTACATGTAAGATCGGGGGATACGATGCGGTTCTTCCAACTATTAAGGGGAGTGCGTGGATTACTAGCTTCAAGCAAGTTGTACTCGATCCAACTGACCCGTTCCCCCAAGGATTTAGGGTGGGTGACCAATGGCATGTGCCAGATGAGGAATAAACATTAACCCTGGGAGAAAGAAAGCCACTTGGCAGAAACATTTTCAAAACTCCCATCAGCCGCTGACAAATCGTGCATAGTGTAGAGAAGACTCAAGTATTTGCAGGGGAAAGTATGGGTATATTTTCAGACATTAATATTCGAAAACTACTTGACAGCTCCAGGCCAAGACTAAGCATCAACCTTAGGTCCCTTGGTCTTGCGCGACCTCTTCTTCTTTTTCTTGCCCTCGATAATGTTCATATCCTCGGCAGCCAATGAACTTTCTCCAGCATTAGCACCAATAACAACCTCCGGCCCATCCTCGTTGCCAAATGTCTCCTTTCTCCATTGCCGAAGTCTAGCTTTCTTGCCTAGATTCTTCTTGTCTTTCCTCTTCTTCTCAGGGTCTCGGAATGCAGCCATTTTCTTCAAGCCAGCGAATGAATTGAGTTGTGAATCAGGCGCCATGAGGATGTCTCGTGCGGTTAGGCCAAAGGAGATGGGTGATGTCTCGCGGTACCGGAAAGCAGTGGGTCCCTTAGACTTGAGAGGGAGGTCAATGTCTAGATGGCCATCAACAATCTCTTCGATTCTCTTGCGTTCCAGACGAGCTGCCTTCTTCTTGGCCTGCTTTTCTTGCATCCGATCCTTGCTAGTTTTGCCATTCCTGGGTGTTTCGCCATCTTCGTCTTCTTCCTCTTGATCCTCCGAGTCAGAGAGAGTAAATGCGGGCTTCTCTTTACCGTCATCGTCCACAAAGTCGGGAATGAGATCCTTGATATCGATATCGTCGTCCCACTTTGGCTTCTTAGGGTTCTTCTTTTTTTTGCTCTCGGCCTCGCTATCGTCGTCTGACCCTGCCTCAGCTTCGGCGTAATAGTCCTCTCCAAATCGCTTGTTCATCTCCGCTTCCCACGAATCATCATCCCAGTTCTCATCCAAGAACTTTGTCCATTCTTCGTCCTTGAGAGTCTTGCCCTTGATACCGGCTGCCTTTTTGATCTTCTGGAGCTTCTCTTCCATCTCCCCGATCTTCAATTGCCTCAGTCGAGTCCTATCCTGATCTCGCTCCGCTTTTTCGGCCTCACGTTTCTCCCTCAGGGTGTCTCGCTGCTTCTTCCTACTATTTGGCTCCTCTCGCCGGACCGACTTTGCCTGAATGATATCTCTGGCATATGATTTCAGCATCTCATTGCTGCCTTTCGGATCCTCGAACCGGAGGTTGTAAGCACTCTCAAACTTTTCCGCCCTCTCATCTTCCTCCTCGTCGTCCGATTCGAATGGTAGATGTCGTGAGCTTTCACCAGGTACCCAGGCTCGTGCTGCCATAAAGTTGGAAAGGAAAGTCTCAGGGTCCTTATCGGCACTTTCGACATCCAAATTAACCTTAACTTTAGCAGCTCTTGAGGGATGCATTCCTTGGGTCGTTGGTTGAGGTTTCGACTTTGGAATGAGAAATCCTCCATCTTCGTCATCGCCAGAATCGGGATCATCCTCTGCTGCGGCATGCATCTCTTTGACAACCTTTCGCTTGAGATCCTCTTGCTCTTGTACAAATGTCCGCGGGGCCTCTTCGTCTTCGTCCTCAGCACCGATGTCCCCCTTCAGTAGCTTCTCTCTGTGGTAATCGCTCAGGTACATGGGCTTTTCTTTCTTCGCTGGTGTAGCACCTTCTTCTGCGCCCTCCTTAATCGGCTTGTAAAAAGTGACCTTCTCATCATATACTCGGGGATCTTTTGACTTCAAAGCTTCAAGGGTTGCCGAAATTTCTGCATCCAGCTCCTCTGTGGCCAGAAAGCCCTCGTCATCTTCATCCTCGTCGTCGGAAGATTCGGAGTCTTCATCGTACTTGTCTCCATACTGGCCTTTGATGGGTTTCACAGGTTTGTTGTATTTCTCCTCCACTAGACAATGTCAATAGGTGACAACAATGATTGAATATTTAACTGACGTCTTTGTAATTCCTCCCGCTTGGAGTTGTGCTCAAATCGCTTTGCATACTCCTTGTTGATTTTGAATCCTGGTTCTTCCAACTTAACCCCTCCCATAGATTCATCGCTGCTAGCAGAATCACTGTCGTCCAGTAAGTTTGCTTTCTTGGGCCCTTCTTCTTGCTTGATTTTTTTGGCACTATTCTCGGATCGCCCTTGCGTAAGGGAATCTGCCTTTCTTTTCGCCATTGTAGTTGGAATTTCTTGTTTGAAATTTGCTGGAATTGACAAGAAATATTTTTGAAAATATCGGCGTTGGAAGTAAGAATGTTCCGGCGCTAGGAAATATGTATTTCCGACTATGCTTACTTACATAATCGTGACCCGGAAGCAGGATGACGCTCCAACCACCATCTACCATCAAAAGCCTCAAGAATAAACCGAGCAGCTGCCATCCAGCTCACTTACAATCTCGTCGCAAACGTAAGCGACCAACTCGAATCTGTCCTAGATACTTTTGCAAGCTCTCACCTACGCCTATTCAGAAATCATTTCTATCAACCTCTTTTGATTTTAAATCCGACCTCCAGAACGACGATACGATGGCTGAGGCAACAGCACCCAAGCCAAGTAGCAGCGTGAAGCTGGTTTTGTTGGGTGAAGCAGCTGTTGGAAAGGTATACACATCTGTTTCTACATTCAGAACGATGGACTGACGATAGATAGTCATCTCTAGTATTGCGGTTCGTCAACAACGACTTTCAAGAAAACAAAGAACCAACTATTGGAGGTATGTCTTGATGATACCACTTCGTCGTATGTACGGCTAACATCCATCTACAGCCGCATTCCTCACACAAAAATGTAATCTACCTACCCGGACAATCAAATTCGAGATATGGGATACCGCAGGACAAGAACGTTTCGCATCACTCGCACCCATGTACTACCGAAATGCACAGTCCGCGCTCGTCGTCTACGATCTCACAAAGCCTACATCTCTCATCAAAGCGAAGCACTGGGTAGCGGAACTGCAAAGGCAGGCCTCGCCAGGAATTGTCATCGCCCTGGTGGGCAACAAGCTTGATTTGACGAATGAGAGCTCCGGGTCTGGCAATGCTTTAGGCGAGGATTCAGAGACCGATGCTGCTGAGGGAGAGAACGATGATGGGGATGCAAGGAAAGTGTCGACTGCTGAGGCGAAGACGTATGCGGAGGAAGAGGGACTGCTGTTCTTCGAGACGAGTGCCAAGAATGGAACGAATGTTACGGAGGTGTTCACTGCGATTGCAAATGCGATTCCAGAGACTTCATTGAAGGGGGCTAGAGGACCGGGTGCTACACAGTCAAGTGCAAACAGGACGGAGGATCAGTCGAGAGTGAACTTGACTGGACCCAGAGATAGCGCTTCAAAGGAGGGTTGTGCTTGTTAATTGTTGGTGTGTTGTATTCATGGAGTCAGCTTTCCCTTTTTATTTTCATGGACCTGGGGGTATGCAGCCGGATGTACGTTTGGGACATGAACATAGGTAGACTCTGCGGGGCTCTTATGTTGATACGATACATTAGTATTGCGTTTTGAGAGATGCCATTCCCGACTACTAAATTCAGTAATGTCTAGATTTATTTGTGACAAATCAGTTCAAAACACTATTCCAACTTCAACGGGCTCTCTTAAAGCCAGCAGAGAAGATAGGTTGTTTTGGATTTTGAGACTATCGTAGCTCGGCGCTTCGACCTCGCAACGAAGGTGTTTCATGAGGCTCACTACAAGTCCTCACATTGTTTCGGCATTTCTTTTTAAATGTTCATACCAGACCCCTTTCAGCCTGTTCCAGATTTTCAAGCACTGACAGCAGGCAGTGTCAAAGAAACGGATTACGCTTTTCATGCCCTGCGAAAATCTGCCAATCTGCCGCCGAGTGCCTTTCCGTCCTCCCACAAAACATGTTCCAAAGGATCTTTCCAGCCCGTTTCGAGTTCCTCGGTAATCGATATTCCGGGGTTGCTGTTCTATAGAGAACTTGCTAGTCTTGCGAGCTTGCTTTGAGCGTCTACTATATAATAGCTTTCACGGCGGGAAACGCTTTTTTCATTCACTTCAAATTTTAACTTTCCATAAACACTCAGCTGGTCTGTTTTCTTTACTTCAACCAAAAACATATTTCATTATCCGTTCGAAAATAATCAGCAATGCGCTCTTCAAGCGTTTCCCTCATTCTTGCTTTCTGCGCTGCGCTTGCAATCCAGGCAGCTCCTCTTACTACCCGCAACTATGACACGGCGTTCCAGTACGATGCGGATGGAAATGAGGTCGACAAGAGGGATTATGCTACTGCTTTTGAGTACGATGCAGATGGGAGTGAGATTGAGAAGAGAGATTACGACAACTCGTTCGAATATGATGCGGCCGGCAATGAGGTTGAGAAGAGGGACTACGATTCGGCGTTTGAGTATGATGCGGATGGGAATGAGGTCGAGAAGAGAGATTTTGATACGGCTTTCGAATATGATGCTGAGGGAAACGAGATCGAGAAGAGAAGCTATGATGATGCTTTTGAGTACGATGCCGAGGGAAATGAGATTGATGATGCAGAATAAGAGACTGGATGTATGAAGTATGGGGATGCAGGGGAGATGTGGGGATAACGATTATACATAGGTCTTGAGATGGGAAAACTGCTGTATATATTATATGAGTTGATTGAAATGGACAGTATACTGACAAGTTGAATGGATTTTGTAGAATTCTATACCTGTAGTTTGCCCTATAGAGCACGAGTTACCATACTTGTTAACTACGGGCAAAGCTCTTAGGTTTCTCGCGTAAGAGAATATGACCTTTGCGGTATAGTCCATCATCTCGGTTGCATCTGAAAAAGCTACTTCGTACATTTGGTAGTATTACGGACTTCCGACTGCTTGAGGATTAGGAAATTTAATACTCACTGATACGGAGTTTCGCCTCTCCGTGGATGGAAAAACAGGCGGAATAATACTCGCCTTTTTTTTTAAGTCTGACAGCCCCTTTATAAATCCACTACTTAGCGTAAATTGCTAGAATCCTATACTTATGACTGGCTCTTCACCCTAGTATAGATCCTGAAACCCACCGAATAAACCCATCTTAAAGCGAGTTTATACTTTTTAGAAGCCGGTGATTAAGAGATCCAAGCTCTAAGTGGCGCGGAGTATACCTTAGGTGGGGCTGTCAGACTTAAAAAAGAGGCGAGTAGTATGGTGTGGCTCATCTCTAGGTTAATGTACGGAGGTACAGGACAGGCCAAAAGGGGCCAATTCCTCCCGTTCGCTACTGCACTGTAGCTCCAGGGGTCGAGCTCAGCTGCGAAACTTGTCAGACGACCGGTACTTTTATCTTCAAGACTCTTCTGGCTGGTGTCTGTCCTGTCCTACTTCGTATATCTGCATCGATCATAGGTACCATTCTATCACGGTTTGTACCTCGGCACTCCCTGCAAGGCTGTGTGCATGGCCATCGGGATCTCAAGCTGGAGAAATACCATGCTCCGAGATCTCGGTTGCAACCCAACGTCTGAAAACAGAAACTCTCTCCGCGGCATCCAGTCATCTAGCGATGATCGACGCAATAACATCATACTTCGAAGTAGGATTTCGCTAACAATATCTGTGCGCTAGGGGAAGCAATTTTACTTCTGCACCCAGATGGGCGTCCTCATCTCGTTTCTATCAGGCATGTGTTCGGTCAAGTCGCCGTCTGCGTTTATAAGAGTCGCAGTTTCCTTCTCTGGACCACCTTCTAGAACAATGCAGCGGTAGTCACCAAAGCTTTCTTCGCCTTCTTCAGCAGGCAGTGTCTTACTTACAGCTTCATCAGAGCTGGAGTAGTCAAAGGCCGAATCGCTGTACCACCCTAATAATCACATTCATTCACTCGCTCCTTCCTAAAATGTTAATCTTTAATTCTTGCTGGGTGATTGTCACCTTCGTTTTTGCCGCTTTGGCCATACGGCAACTCCCGGACTTTGCTTCAGACGTATTTGGTATTCAGCAGATACAACAATATGGGAACGCAACCCTCGAAAAGCGCGACGATGTCCCTGCTGGCTATACTGCCCCTCCTTATTACCCCACACCCAAAGGTGGTTGGATTGCCAGTTGGACAGACTCCTACGCCAAGGCGGCAGAAGTTGTCGCCAACATGACTCTGGCCGAAAAGGTCAATCTGACATCTGGCACTGGTTTATTGATGGGCCCATGTTCGGGAAATACTGGATCGGCTCTGCGTTTTGGCATCCCTAATCTCTGCTTGCAAGATTCTGCCCTCGGAGTTGCTACAACAGACAACAATACGGCCTTTCCAGCTGGCATCACAACTGGAGCTACGTTCAACAAGGCTCTCATGTATGCGAGAGGCTACGCATTGGGACAAGAGGCACGTGGAAAAGGAGTCAATATCCAACTTGGACCGACTATTGGACCTATCGGACGCAAGCCACGAGGAGGAAGGAATTGGGAAGGCTTCGGTGCTGATCCCGTTCTTCAAGGTTTTGGAGGATCCGGTACTATTAAGGGAATGCAAGCCAATGGTGTGATAGCTACAGTGAAGCATTTTATTGGAAATGAGCAGGAGATGTATCGAATGGATATCCCTCCTCATGGATTAATGAAGGCCATCAGCAGCAATATAGATGATCGAACCCTTCATGAACTTTACGCTTGGCCATTCATGGACGCCATCAAAGCTGGGGTGGGAGCTGTTATGACGAGTTATAATGATGTAAACGGAAGTGCAAGTTCTCAGAATAGCAAGATGATCAATGGGATACTCAAGGATGAATTTGGATTCCAGGGACTGGTATGAAATCTCACTCGCTAATCGACTAATATGCTGACCTTTTCAGGTGATGACCGACTGGCTTGCACAGATCGGGGGTGTTTCTTCCGCTTTGGCGGGTCTAGATATGTCAATGCCTGGTGATGGATCCATTCCACTACTTGGACTTGCATATTGGTCCTATGACCTCTCCACAAGCGTGCTGAATGGCACAGTACCCCTTGAGCGTCTCAACGACATGGTTACTCGTATAGTAGCTACGTGGTACCAACTCGGCCAGGATCAAGACTACCCATTACCCAATTTTTCGTCGAATACCGCAGATCCCACAGGGCCTTGCTACCCAGCTGCCCTCTTATCACCAACCTGCGTCACCAATCAATATGTCAATGTTCAGGCCGACCATGCAAATGTTGCTAGAAACGTATCGCGAGAGGGAATTACTCTGCTGAAGAATGATAATGCAACGCTGCCGCTTACCACCAGCGCTAGTCTGAAAGTTTTTGGATCAGATGCCCAGAACAACCCAGACGGCATCAACGCCTGCAATCAGCGTTCCTGTGACACTGGTATTCTCGGTATGGGTTGGGGAAGTGGTGAGTTTGTAATGGGCTTGTACTCAACATATGCTGACTTAAGGAAGGAACCGCAAACTACCCCTACTTGGACGCACCAATTGATGCTCTCAAAAGAAAGGCCGCAAACGTAACTTATTACTCCAGCGATACTTTTCCATCTGGGCTTACGGCTGCCACTGGAGACATTGCCATAGTCTTCATCAACAGTGATTCTGGAGAGAATCAGTACACAGTTGAAAATAACCACGGAGACCGTGATGGCAGTGGTCTTGTCTCATGGCATAATGGAGATGCTCTTGTCCAAGCAGCAGCAGCCAAATACGCTACTGTGATTGTAGTTGTTCATACTGTCGGCCCGATTGTGGTCGAGCCATGGATTGATCTTCCATCCGTCAAATCGGTCGTCTTTGCTCATCTTCCAGGTCAAGAAGCTGGTGACTCCTTAACTGACATCCTCTTTGGCGACTACTCCCCAAGTGGACACCTCCCCTACTCAATTCCTGTAGCTGAATCCGACTATCCATCCTCGGTAGGCATCGTGGGTTTCGAAGTCACCCAAGTCCAGGATACTTTCTCGGAGGGTCTCTACATCGACTACCGTTATCTGAACAAGAACAAGACCTCGCCCCGGTACGCATTCGGCCACGGTCTCTCTTACACCACCTTTTCCAAATCAAGCATAGCCCTCACATCCGTCACCCCACTCTCATCCCTCCCACCCGCACGAGCAGCCAAGGGCTCAACGCCTGTCTATTCCACTGCCATTCCACCAGCATCCGAAGTCGCGTGGCCCACAGGCTTCAACAAAATCTGGCGTTACCTATACCCCTACCTCGACGATCCAGCCTCCATCTCCTCCTCAACCCCCTTCACCTACCCAACCGGTTACCAAACAACCCCACAACCCGACCCGCCATCCGGCGCGACCAAGGCGGCAATCCCGCTCTCTGGGACATCATGTACAACCTCACAGTCACCGTGACCAACACCGGTTCCGTAGCAGGAAAAGACACAGTCATGTTGTTCCTCCAACACCCATCGGACTCTCCATACGACACGCCTATTATTCAACTCCGCGATTTCGAGAAGACGGATACGCTCGCGCCGAATGGGAGCGAGACGTTGACGCTTAGTGTGAAAAGGAGGGATCTGAGTGTGTGGGATACCGTATTGCAGAACTGGGTTGTTCCTGTTAGTGAGAGTGAGCCGTTTGTCTTTTGGGTCGGGAATAGCAGTGCAAATTTGACGCTTGCGTGTGAGAGTTTGAGCGGGGCTTGTAGTTCTGGGAGGACGCCTCCTGTTGTTTGAAATAGTACTCAATGAGCCCATTATTATTAGTAAAATGAAACGAGTAAGATGGAAGGTCTATAAAGTATGTGTTTTTTCTTCTGAAGTTCTAAAGTATCGGAATCGTTAGGGTCGTTTAGCACGTTCTGCGCTTACACAACCAAATGGGGTTTTCTAACTTAATAGACGTTAACTTTACACGTAACAAATTTCCTTAAATCTGTCGATTAGCATGTCGATTAGCAGCTTTACCAGTGATCAGAAGTAAAAACAAAACGAAAATCAGTCCGCTGGCCTTAGGGGGAAGTGATACTGTATCATAGTAGAACCCGCTCTGAAGCTACAGTATCCCCAGATTAATACTATCAAAGGATATGTATCCGACCTAGTGTTAGAATGCATACTCCATAATTGCGCGTTCTCTTCCTTTCTCCGGAGAAGAGAAGAGAAAGTCTGTCTTGACACGTGGTAGAAGTAAGTAACCATGTCTTCTCTTCGCTTCGCTGATTACCTATATAAGTAATAAGCTATTGGCAAGGCAGTTTCCGAGTGTAAGCGTAGAATGTTCTTAAACATATGATGCCATGTGAGGATCAGGACGAGAAAATGTTGGCTGGGAGACAGTGGGAGTGGAATTAGCGGCGCGGATCGGAGAGAGCGACATATGTTATGTGTTGGAAGTTACTGTATTATTTTTTAACTAAGGATATCATCGCATGATTCAAGTGAACGAACGACTAATAACTTTGACGGCAAGTCCGGAGACGGTAGCCATTTATGGGCATAGGATTCCATACTCCAAAGCTCTGCCCCTGATGTCTCCTGCTTCATACTATCAAAACATCTTGCATGCGACATCTTAGTGTGCGCACGCCCACTATATCGCAGAAGAAACTCATCATGAGAGCCTACTGCACTCGAAGAGCAGGCGAGCGTTCCGTACTTGGATCGATAATGGCTTGATGATTTGACTAGTAATAGCCCGGGCTATGCAGTATGCCACGGTATCCCTGAATGAATGAACGAAAATGAAAGCGCAGCGCACTTGACAACAGCAGTGTTTCGTAAGGCAAGCATAGCCTTCCACCAGTTTCATTGGTCGCCAATCTCTGTTTCCGAGACCATAATGTGAGTGTAGTGTAAAAGGACGGAGAAATTAAAAGATGTGATTGCAGTTAGAAAACAACTCTGTGTGGTTTAGAAAATGAGTGCTTGTTCTGTTAGGGTTTGGATGGGGTTAAATACTATTTCGGTCGTTGGCAAAGATTTTCGTTGTAAAAACCTTGGCTCTCGAGCTATTGTATCTTCGTAGAGGAGGAAACTTTATTGAAAGAGGTGAAGAGAGAGAACGGTGAAAGTAAAGTACCATATAAAGTCATCCCCCCCCCCCTTCCCTTATCCAGTTAATGCATTTCCATATATACGTTTCCATCATAAAGAGCGTGCCTCATCAACATACAAGTACAAACAGAGGAATACCGTGAAAGGAGCAGTCTGCCACCGTTGTCGCAGTCCTCAAATGTAATGCTTGAGGGATATGAGAAATCCGGTAGGGTATGGGCGAATAAGAAACTCGGCGGAATAAATCCGAGCATCACCACATTCCCTCCTATCTCTGCCTTCTGACGAAGTTTCGAGTCCCAAGTTTCAGACACTATTCTAACTTGACCAGGGATGTATCGTCTGAAGTAGTCGTAGATCCGCCAGCTGAAATTGTAAGACCTTGCATGATCTCAATGCCGGTTACATAGATAATATACCCCGAGCCGACAAGCCAAGCTCCACTGCAGGACCTGTTAGACAATGTTGGCAAATCAGGAAAAGAAGCTTACTTTGGAATGATCCAGAGGAAAACAATATTCGAAAGGCTGTTGTGTCCCAGGTTGTCGAAGCCAGAATAGTACTCACTCAGCCCTAAGCACATCAGTTGCGACCAACTACGCATATTCCACAAAACTTACAATAGAGAACTGTCTTGCTGAAAGTCATAAGGCCAGCACTATACCCAACCAACGCAGCCAGCGCGCCCTTTGTCCCCTCAACCCGTCTCTGCTCGCCCCAGAACCCCGCAATAGCCGTCTGCGGCGCGCCCCGTCCCCGAGCCGCAACCTGCTTGCCAGACGTGTACACGATGTACAAGTAATACACATACATTAGACTCTCGATAGCATTCAGGAGTCCTTGGGCTCCAGTGAAGCCGTTGCGGGAGTTGAACGCCTTCCAGCCGTATATATAATCCACCTTGCCGTACAACTCATAGGGAACCCAGAGTGGCCAGTGCAGAAACCCTCCGGGCATGGAGTGTGGTCGTAAGAGCACATAACCGGTATCCCATGCGACGAGCGGAAGGGAAATAAGGAGCCAGACGATGGTGATGTTGGAAGGTGTATGCGCCCATTTACCGTTGCTGCGGCCTCGACGAGAGGGGCTGGACTTCGAGGGCGTGAGATCCGGCTCAGGGAAGTCTTTTGGATGCCCGCGGGTAGAAACCATTGTGGATGGCGGATTTGTATTCGATTGAGGAGTGCGACAAGATTCTGATGGCGAATGAGATTGTATTATTATTGTATTGTATTGTATTGTATTGTATTGTATTATTGTCTGACCAGCAGTTGGGAAGTGAACTCAAATATGGGGAAGTAGCCGGGGCCGGGACCTCAGGTACGGATGAGAAGGAATGCTGGAGCCGCTGGTGCTGATCCGTCCAAATTCACCAACCACGTCATCGGCGGCGCATCCAAGTTCTGTTGGTTGAATTCCACATCAAAACCTTTTGCCTCTTCAACAAATACAAATAAACAATCTGTCTTCCGCGCCACCTTGCTGCCTAGCAATTCCAGTGCAGAACCTTCGCGAAGTCTTTAACATCACAACACTCATGTTATAGTCCCTACAAATGGATTCGGACTCCGCGACACCTCGACGTTCTCAGCGAATCCAGAAAATGGCTTCTCCAACTCCAATTTCCCCCTCAACAGCCAACGGCAGCTCCTCCGAGAAAACCGTAATGACTGCGCGGAGAACGCCCTACCTCCCCACCACCGTTGAGACAATCCTCCTTTCAGTATACCCAATTATTCTCTGCATCGGCTCCCTCTTCGCCCTCCTTGATCCCTCCACAAGAGCATCGCCATACAACGCAACTACACAATCACATCAGGCAGCAACAGCACCGTCATATTTTGCTAAGAAGAGCAATGTCTTTAACACATTTTTCGTAAAGCAGGGCTGGGCATGGGTGACATTCAGCTACTTCTTCTTCCTCTTTACGCACCCCTCAACCGGCCCATCTCTCTCCCCAGCCATAACACCGCGACGATTGCGCGGAATCTTCAGATATGGGATAGTGACCGTCTGGTGGATATTCGTCACACAATGGTTCTTCGGCCCCGCGATCATCGACCGCGGGTTCAGGCTCACAGGCGGACAATGCGAGCTTGTGGATCAAGCGGAGAAAGGAAACGTGGATATGGATGATGCGAGACAGCTTGTTACGGGGATGGCGTGTAAGGCTGTGGGTGGGAAGTGGGGTGGGGGGCATGATATTAGTGGGCACGTTTTCTTGTTGGTGCTGGGGAGTATGTTTCTTTTTGAGGAGGTGCTGCATGTTGTCTTGAAGTCTGCCAAGTCGAGTGAGAGGACGATTTATATGGCTGATGGAGCTGTGAAAAGTGCCGATGTTGAGGCGCCCCGTGATTCGACTGCGGAAACAGCTGGGCAGTGGACTTTGGGGGCGAAGGTTGTGTTGGGTGTTGCGGGTTTGAGTGTTTATATGCTTTTGATGACAGCGGCATATTTCCATACGTGGTTCGAAAAGGTGAGTCTAAATCCCCTTCCACCTGATCATCTTGCTGACATTACTAGTTTACTGGGCTGTTGGTTGCATTCAGCGGTATATTCGTGGTTTATTCCCTACCTCGATTCGTACCAGCGCTAAGGGGCATAATCGGTATGCCAGGAGTATAGGTTTTCGAGACGATGTAAAGTTTATAAATGAAAGATAGTAATAATACGAGAAACGCCTCTGCTCAGATACCTTATCAAAACTCCGGAAAACCATAGCTAGGAATCTTCTCGAGTGTTCTTGTCCTATTCGTTTGCTTTTTGTTGGTAGGTTTTATAAATCCTATACTTTTTCTTACCCTTCTCAAGTGAGATAGGCCAGAAGTGAAGTTATGAAGATACGCACGTAATCGAACCTATAAATACAAAACTGTTTCTCATAACAGAGAGCATGATCGATAGAATAAGTTCAGACCAGCAGGAGGAACATATTGTCTGGCAGTGAGGCAAGCAAGCGACGCCATTCTTATTTGCGGTTCATGCGCTGTAACTAATCTGTCTCTATCTCAGTCAGGCTGCTTGCTCTACATGTGTCTTTGTCAAGTGATGGCAGTAACTAGATTTCATCGGATGTCGGGAGTTGCTGTTAAATTCACTTCACGTTCGTTGCCAATTGCTGTCATCGACGTTTAGACGAAGTAGCGAACCGAACAGAGCGTTCCATACTCGTGTCTGGGTAATGCAAAGATAGATAGATGATAGTGTTAGATACATGACTTGGGGAGTTTAAGGGCTTGCGTTTACGGCAACCGGCCACCATGAGACCTGTATGTTTTGACATCTACAGTTGCCATGATTTGTTAGGAGCTCGAGTGTCTTATATGGTATAGGCCAAGAGGGGAAAATCCTTCTTTATCTTCCTGTTGTGCAATAGTGAGATTCCCCTTCGTGTCCTACTACGTACGTATATTTGTTGATACCGTATTCCTGTATGTGTAGCTTACCCCCTGACTAGGTTGAGGTAGGCGCTCCGCAGACGCATTACTATTATCCATGGCTCGCTCCTGACACCTACACAGACTACTCTGGTCAGATTCTAGACCGCGCAGTGAATTTAAGATTTGAGATTCCATAATTTGATTTGTATGCAGTCTAAGAGGACCTTTAACCATAGTTGGCAGTATGCAACGCAACCGAAGACCAGGCCAATGTAAGATAAACGCCTCAATCCATCCATTCTGTATTCCATCCCGCGCCATAGCCCTACCCATAAATAGTACCTATATCCAAATCCAAAAACCCAAACACCGGCGAAAATGCTCCCTGACGCATCCCATATCTCTCACTCACTCACATACCGATATTCCTTTGCATCCCATCCTATCCATCTTCATCATATATGGCAGAGGTGCCAGGCCTAGGCTCAGGCCCTCAAGTGACATTGCAAAGCAACTCTGCCTCGAGTATATACTTGCCCTCCTTGTACTTCTCGCTGGCCTCAAACGCCTTGTCGTACTTCCACCCCACCGTCTCGTTGCACTGCCTGCACGTAATATCCCGCACGATATGGCGGCCGGTCGTCATGTGGCGCTCGGAGGCATCGCCGGATGTTACGTTTACGACGCTGTTGAAGAGGTAGGCTTTGCCGTGCTGGCCGCGGAAGTTCTAGGCGGGGGGAGGAAGCGTTAGTGAGAAAATGGAGGGAAGGGGAAGGGGAAGGGGAAGGACGAACTCGGGAGATGATGTCTTCGTGGTTAGCTAGATGGGCTTTGCAGTTCTTGCAGCCGTAGATCTTGTGGCTGTTTAGGTAGACGTTGTAGGAGAGACCCATGGTTGGTGCGTTGGAGGTGCGCCTCTTGCGCACACAAGTCCTACCCTTATTCTCCGCGGTCTTGCTTCACGTATTTGATTGAAAGATTTGGATGAAATTTGGTCTGATTCCGCTTGGTTCGAGACCGGGGAGGCAGCGTGTTGGAGTCGGTCTTGGATAGGTAGTATGATGTTCGTTGGACGGTGAGGCTGGGGGTGAGTAGAGGCGGGGGTTGCGGAACTTGGCTTTCTTTAGTGCTGAGTTGAGGTACAAGTACCGTGGGTCAATATGTGTGTGTGATTGTGGTTATTTCGTGGTCATGGGAGATGTGAATTCGGCTGCTTTGCTTTGTTCTCTGCCTTTTATTGCTGGGACCTGATGAGCTGAAAGCCAGGAAGTGAGGTCACAGGGCAAGGGTGGGGATGATGCCTACCTTATCTATTTAATAAGCAGCTGATGCTAGGCTAGGAAGCTTACCGGACTAGACTAGGTAGCTATCGGCTATGAAGGTAATAACTTGTAATAATTTCTGAATTACAGAAGAAATATTAATCTGTATGTATCATTATATCTAATCCAAGGACTGCAGTAAAAATCTAGAATATACAAGTAGTTAAGTCGCAAGGTAGTCCTGGGACTGCTAAATCGTGCTAAATCTGACGGGTTTGCTCGTTGCTTTACAAGGGTTTAGCGTCTGGGTCCAATAATCACGGGCGCAACTGTTGGAGGATATGCTAACCTAAACGCTAGTTTAGTCTATGATCCAGCATTAATTGGGTGCTTCCAAGCATGACGGAGCGGGGCAGAGCGGGGTAGTCAGTCTAATTCATCGCGCTGTATTTCCATCGGAAAGAAGGCTAAGCTCAAATCCCACCCCACCAGTCCAAGAAAACTACCTGTACCAATTTATAGAAGTATTATTTTTCAAGTTAGAGGTTGGTAAAGATAATGGGAAACGCTCGTATCACACGCCCCGAGAGTTCATGAGTTACACAAATAAGAGTAGGCTTGGGGACGTGGGGCAATGTCTGTAATTGTTGTGTAATGTACGTATGTACTTGTATGCTACTAGCTGTCCTGCATGCAGTGCCTTGATACATTTCTATCCGTAACCCACGTCCAATCCTGATAATATACAACGACCGTGGTTACAACCTCCATCTATAAAAGTCCAAAACTCAATATCAACAAAGAAGACAGTCATAACGTGGGATTCCGAAATCCAAAAAGATATCCTGAAGTCGGTGACGTTGGATCAGATCACCACGAGAAGGCTTCCTCGACGAAGTCAATGTTCCCGGCGTGCTGACGCGTGCGCACTGCCCTCCTCACATCATCACTCAGCGCTCCACTACCGCAAACCGAGACGCCCAAAGCGCCGACCTGGTTTTCCATCTCGATATCCATAAGCGTCTCGATGTTTGGTCGACCAGGGAACATTTGTACCGTTGCGGAAGGGCTGTGAATTTCCTTGGTTGAGCGGGGACGGCTGACGAATAACATGATGCGTAGCACGTCGCGGCGTTTGTCCATAGCCAGGATGGCTGTCATCCACGGTCGGATCCATTCCAGATGTTCGGGAGATTGGATGATCCAAACGAGCACGATCTTACGCGCAGCGACTGTTCCGTTTGCGTAACCGGCGACTAAATCTCTGACATGTGGTACTTGATGGGTGATTCCTACCCCTCCTGCAAACATCATGACGGACCCGTAGGAATGCATCATATGCATGCCTCCATATGGACCCTCTGCAAAACACTTGGTGTAAAATTTGCCACCGGGTGCTGCTTCGGCTTTCTTGTATAGCTTGCTCGTGAATCCTGTTCTGGCACGAATGATGAAAGACATCTGCGTCTTCTGCATTTCCAAGATATCTTGGCGGTTCATTGCGAGCTTTTCTGGGTCCAGGTTCTCTGCTTCCTCAGACCACGCAATCGAAAAGGGGTGGGAAGTCATCATGCCAATTGCCGGCATGTAGAGATAGGCGTGCTGGCCCGGCTTGAAGGTCCATGGTCGGGCCATTGTGATGGTGACACGGCTCGCATTTCCTGGAAGTGCCTCCACCAACGTCTGTGATCCCCCTTTTCCAACGTTCCTGTACATGACCTTGAGAATTCTTGTAGCGCGCTCTGCCCCCCATAGTGCAATAACTCCATAAAGAAGGGTGATCTGGGGAAGCTTGGCAAGCTTCAAGTGATACCAAAGGCCGATGATAACCAATATAACCAAAGCAATGTGGAGATACTTGAAAGTCTCATAGAAAGCATGTCGGAGAATGGAGTTGGCTTGGAAGGCAATGACTACAAACGCAACAATAGCCTAGGATTGTTAGTAATTTCACTACTGCGACGGCTTAGGAAACCCACAATGAAGCCATAGGTGATGAAGGGAGTTCCTGTGATAGCCTTAGAAATCGCTGCCCATCCACCTCCGATGTAAGCTGAAACGCCCCAAGAAATCGCGTGAGTAATTGCTTCGAGGACAACGATTCTGCCGGTCCATCTATGCAACAAATTGAAGGAATCGAAAGACAAATTCAACCAGTTCATCAAAGGGTTATTGCGAGCAGCCATGACGAAGAGGGGGATCTGGTTATAGTTAGATACATGAGTGACCACGTGATACTAGTGATGCCCGAAAAGTCGACGGGGCAATATAAGAATACTGGTGTCAACTTACCATGTTGACAACGGCGAGTATGCCAGTCCGGTTCCTCAACTCCTTAGCAGCAGATGCAGCTGGAAGTGCCCAATCAATGCTATAAACGCAGAATATAACGTTGGTGCCGAAATACGAAAGTAGAAATATCAACTGGAATCGAGTCGGTAGCGTTCCCACGTTCATTGCCGAAGACAACTGAATTTCCCTGTTGTGTCTCTTGCTGAATACAGGGGCATATAGCAAGTGCTTCTTGAAACTCGCCCAGCTCTTTGAGGGAACAGCGAAGTATTTCTGCGTATCGTTGTTTAGACATGTAAGTGTCCGCACGTATTTGACGCTCTCGATGCCCACCCTCCATAACGTGAAAGCTGCAATCAGCGAGGCTAGTACGATGAAGATATAGTTGTAAAAATCCTGGTTGTGAGCTTTAGCTTTGGCAGCCTCGACCGCTGCTGCTGCCGCCGCCGGCCCAGTTGCTGCCGGTGCCTCTGCAGCAGAGACCAGTCCTGAAATGGCTAATAAGCCCAAAAATCGAAGTGAAGAAGTCATAGTGTAGTGTAGTATTGTCGGTATTCCTTGAAGGAATGGGGATCCGTTGTGGTCGCCTCGAGGTGTCTCGCGCCTGGCGGGTTTTTGCGAATAAACGAGAAACTTATGTGAATGTCCAGCACAGCACAAAAAATTCGATACTCGAGGTAAGATGAGAGGATATCTAGATAAGGAGTGTTGTAGGTCAAGCCATAAAAGTCTTCTGAAGAACTACTCAAGAGGTGATTTCCAGACTGCGTGTAGTAGTAAAGGATCGTCGGCGTCAAGAACTCTCGAGACAATTCAGTCTAATTGTCAAAAAGGCGGCCGGCTAGAAAAAGGAGGGCGGAAAGAATAAAAGGAACCTGTTCCACAATCACAAGGTCGAAAAGAATATATTGACAAGGAGGGACAGACAGTACAATGTTATCTAGATGGTGGAACAAGACAAGTCACAAACACACAAACGAAGAAGTGGAGGTAGAGCCAAAGTACTAGTATAGTACTGTTCTCTTGCATGCATGCCGTGCCTTGTCGAGTAGACCTCCGTAAAATGATAATCGCATCGTGGGATAAGTATCCACAGCGGAGCAGGAGTCAGCCTCTTTACCGCCCGTACCTTGTATATTGCATAAACCTACAGGGAATGCATACGGGACCAAACACGGGCATCACTCCCGAGCAACGGCTATAGGTACAGTAGTATCCTTTATTTTTTCAGGCCTGAAACGATGACAGGAAGTGCATGGAGTGGACGGATAAGGAAGGATGGGGAAGAAGAGTAGGTACTTACTGCATCCCGATTATTGAACCTAAGGTACCGATTGTTTACATAAGAATAGTGAGGTTTCTTCCAAGGGAGTCCACAATGGTGTTGCACCGTCGAATCAACCACTGCCGACGTGATTTGATGAGACCAGCCTGAGTAACTGAGACTGAGTTTACTCCGTAATCCAGGGGCCACGGGCAAATCTTCGCTAAAGCCCAGCAGCCCCGCAAGCAGTCAGGGTCAGGGACAAAGTGCAGTGCTTGCAGGGGTCCTGAAACGTGAGACGACACCCTCAAAGTGCTTTGTGTTGCCTGTAACGCCACGAGCATCACAACGACGAGAAATCCCAACGGTCAAGACAAGTCGTGCCGATGTGTGAATGTCCTGCAGGACGTGTGTCGCCATCCAAACGTTATTCCGCCTGTGCCCTAAAGATCGCCAACCAGGTGTCGTCGTCTACATACCCCCTTGATGACGAATGGAAGCTTCATGTTTGACTAGATTAATACTGTACTTCGTATATCTAAGTGAGTGGTTCTTGGACTGCGATGCCAAGTGCCAAGTGCCAAGTAAAAGATAAGACATGACAATCTATATCCATGGTTGGTTCCGTCCAGTGTCCACAATTGTTTTGACGTCCTGCTTAATCTTGCGGCAAGTCACCCGCTACGTAATCATCTATATGAAGCAATGTCGAGTCCACAATTCTCCGTGTAAAGTTTGGCGGGTAAAGTGTTTCCCAAATCTGTCTACAAGACTGCGAATGAAGTGTTCGTGAACACGACTCGCGCCCTATTCTATTCTACTGTAGTGAAGGTTAAATCGTAACCTGAAGGTTAAGCACTTCGATTCTGATAAGGATGGAGGTGGATACAATTGCATAGTGTTCGAACTTCTTCTATTGAGCGCCAAACTTGCAGTTTTCGAGCTCGTTGCCATCCTCCCACAGTTTTTGTTTCTGCGATGATATAATAACTCGTCATTTGAACTCAAAAACCAGGCAAGTCAAGTCATTCGCCCTTCTGTTAGTCTCCACAACTATATCCAAATGCTCTGCCCGGTTGAGACCGACTTTGTCGCAAAGCGAGCCTCTTATAAGCCCAGCGCATATTCAAACACGGCGATCACGCAGTAAAGATGCCCGATACTAGCCCTAAATCTTGCACATGGTGATCCTTCTGTCTCATGGTTGGATACCCAGCAATAGAGCTGCTTTACAATCCCTTCAATATCACAAGCGGCAAAAGATGGACATTTCCATCTCAGCCTTCCTTCGATCCGTCAAAGCCCCGTTAAAAGCTCCGATCGAAACACTGCTGGTAAGGCATTTGGAACCGAACTGTTGCTCGGAGGTATTCAGACAGGCCAACAAGCTTCTTACATATGTTGAGATCTACCATAGAGAAATACTGATAGCATGAATTGGGACGCCTTATCATATTCCCAGCTCATCTTCGCTGAGAGGGGTAGTCCAATTGGTAATGGGCTTTCTAGATTTTGTCGCAGCTTTTGTTCTACGTACAGAGCGAATTTTGGTAGTTGCAGTGTTTGTGATATCTCCTAAGACTCGATCACTTTGTGATGAGACGGAAAGGAAACTGAGTTCGTCGTCACTTTCGTCGAACAGCTGCCACGCCTGATTGGACCGAAGCGCTCGTCGTCCTAATCTTGGTGCTCTGTCGACGTATTGTCGTCGAGAATTAACATCTCTACTCTGGTCTGAGGTAGATGACGATGCAATGGAGCTGAAAGATTCATCGAAAAGCTGCCCGTCCTGGCTGTTTCGAAGATCCTTTCTATATAAGCGTGGAACACGATCAATAGAACGACGTGTATGATGATATTCAGTCTCTTCTTCGGATAAGGACTCCCCTGAAGAAAGTGACGTTTGCGTGAAAGACATTTCCACGTCGGATGCTAAGCCAACAGATATAGAGCCAGACTCGGAAGAATCATCTCTACAGGAAAAACTTGTATGCAATTCATCGTCACTCGCTGACGCATTCTTCTCAACATGTAATGCGTCCAGAACCGAACCAGAATACTCTGGAACATCTGAGCTGTCCGCTGGCTCAACGGACACATTCGAGGAGCGCAAATTCCGTTTCCTGGACACTGGTGCAACTTCCTTGGTCTTGTTTGGACGTGTGCAAGGTGAAGGTCGAAAAGGAGAATCACATTTGTCTTCCTTCAGGGGATACCTGACAATGCTTTCTCGTTTGGAGTTGTTTCCAGCGGGAGTAGCCGTCACCCACTCGCCAATGCCTTCCTCCCAGCGAAATCCAGGTCTTGCATCATCGTTTGCTTCTGAAATTGGAGTTAATTCGTGCTTGACTTTCCTATCTGAAAACTTGACGTCCAAAGTCGACGCATAGTCTAGATGAGTTTGTTCAGGCAACTGCTGTGCAAATGCAAAGGCGCTATCCACAATGATTCCTTGAAAGATATCAACTCCAGGGCTGTCGATGCTGAGATCCTCCAGAGTCAGATGTAGATATTTTAGAGACTCGAATCCTGCACTTGAAGCGCCTCTGCCACAACAACGTGCTACAGAACAGATGAATGCCACAAGATCGTTGTAGCTATCAGGAGTAAGATCACAGTCGTCTGCGTTTGCGTCTTCCCATGTTTGATTATGAAGAAGCTTGATGAGACAGTCCTCGGAGTTCGTACACTTACCAACCGGCTGTCTGGCTATTAGATTTGCAGCAAACAGCAGAACGCCTTGGGAATCATTGGGAGCTGGTGACAAATCGTACTGTATCACGCAGCTCTGTAGTAAGGTAGTGACATGCTCATAAGGTGCGTCAGAGACCACGGCTCTTTCATCGGTGTGAGATTCTGTTGCTTCTCGGCTCAGGAGAACAATTGATAGTAGTGTTGTGATCAAGCTAGAAAAGGTGGGCTTAAGAATAGCAAATGAGGAGGTATCATAAGAACTGCCCGACTGACCAGACCTTGCAAGAAGAGGAAGCGTGGTCTCAAGAAACATCAGAGCATCCGGGTTCACCGAACCAGGGGAGAGCCTTTGCATCACCCCAATCCATACGGGACGAAATTCCTTTGTGGCCAGCCATCCGAGAGGCAGAAACCCCTTTGAAATCAAGCTTGCCAGCTGTTGATATTGGAAAGCGAAGCGTCCAGTGTACTCGACAAACTTCCAGAGCATCGAAAAAGGACGAGGCGCAATATCGTAAAGAGTTTTGGGTGCTGAATATTTGCTAGAGGATAGGAGGGAAGAAAGCAACACTTCGGCCTCTTCTGCAGCAAAAGTATGTATGCAGAGTGTAATCAGCACACCACAAAATTCTAGATCGATTAATCCTGCGGTTATTGCGTCTCCGAGTACTTTTGTTCCATGCGACCGGACGATAACTTTAAGTTGCTTCCAGCCATATTCGGAAGTGCCGAAGTATTCCAACTCATCGTAAATTTCTGTTGATATATCCCGCGTATTAATTGCGGATTTGGTTCCAGTCTCCTCAAGATGGGCCTCTTCTTCAGCGATATAACTTGGAACAGCTCTCAAGGACATTGAAAAAAGTGATCTGGCACCCTTTGCCTTGGTGTCGGGCCCATCTCTCATCGTCGAGCGCAATAGAGTCTCCAGGCCATTGTAGATACCTTCATAAATCGTATACCGGGAAGCGTTCGTCTTTTGTCGCATTTCTCTCAGAGTCCCAGAGAGCTGGAAACTTGGCTCCCCTTCATTTGTTGTATGATGATACTTTGAACGCTTGGGTCTTCTGATTGCTTGATCATCAAGCCCGGCATTTGCAATCATTGAAGGATAGTCGTCTACATCAAGTTCTCCCCTAGCTCGGGCAAGTATCGGGGTGGGGACTAAGATCTCTCCCGGAACAATGGACTTACTGCCCTTCGAAGAGGCTGGTATACGAGGTGTTTTGGGAACTGCTCCTTCTTGACCTATACCATTTCGTTTATTTCGGTTCGAATATGTCCGCTTCAGTTTCTTCCGCGCCCGGGTCCAGTCGCCATCATCCTTGTCTTGAGTATTCCGTCGTAAGGTTTTCGCGGTCGTGGGTACCTCGCCATTGTTTTGACTCTGAGCCTGCCGAGCTTGGGATAACCGTGACAAGTCCTTATTCAAGATTGCAACTCTGGACGTCAAAGCCCGTAGTAGGCGATGGCACCTCGCTGCTGTCCATTCCTTCTCTTGGTCTCTGTGAAACTGCCTCGTGTTGACTGTCGAATCTCGTCGCCGTACAGGAGTAAAGCCATGCAAAGCCATGCTAGTGCTTGGTATTTCAGATGCCATATTGAGTATCCTGAACACAGGAGTCAGCTTTCAAGGCATGTAATTCTTAGTTTCCTAGCACCCATACCTGTTGTATTGTTTGTTTATGCAGCGAAAGAGCAAAAGAAATGTAGCAAGAGCAATGATGGGGGATTTTTTAAAGCAAAAATGAAGCAATAATAGAGGACAACTGATGACTAGTAAAAAGCCAAAAGGTGTTATGAATTATCGCAGCATTATGCCGATGTTTATGATATTGATACTGGAGGAGAGGAGAGCTGAAAGTAAATAAAGGCTTACTAAGCAATTGACCAGGGTATCTGCTCTGCCCTGCCCTGCGGCAGGGCTGTTGCTGGACCGGAATAACGCGGGCGGATACCGGGGAGCTCAAAAAAATTCCTATGGTGGATGCATGTAAAATTTAGAGGCATTGATCTTGTTCTCTCCATAACAACCCCTTTTCTTCTTTGTAATTCTACTACTCCTACTCATAATCACCCGCCTCTTCTTTCCGTCTGCTCATATTGACCTTCTCCTTGCGCTTCTCGGACTGCAGGGCTTGGTTAAGTTCCGTCTTTTCGACTTTGTACCTTACTACTCGGCATTGTAATATATCATCATGGCTGCTGAAGCAAGCTCCAAACCCGCTGGTATGTTACTAGAACGACATTTACCTGATCGAACACACCAATTTTTCATATTTTGATCAGCTAACATAGTTCTTTGTCTAGAAGCCTCTTCCAATGGCACTGCTGATGCTCAGAATGGCCTCGAGGTTGATCATGCAACCACCAACGGGGCAGAGCAGGAGGCTGCAGATGGAACAGACCAAGGTGGCGAAGGTACTACACCCGATGACATTGAAATGGCTTGAACACTTCGCAATGGAGAATATAATACTGATGTTATTGCTAGCCATCTTTCAGCTAATGGTCAACCTGCCCCACGAGCCCAAGCAGATCCCGATTATGGTATATCCCCTACCACCCTACTCTACTACGATAAACAGAAGAGAAAACTAAGTCTTATAGGTATCGACGCAAGAGGCAATTCACGATGTTCGACAATCGATTATCGAACTCCCAGGTACTTTCCAGTACTCCTGTTTCCACCTCGAACATAAGGGCCAACGAATCAATGATTTCATCCAAATATCTGAGGTCGAGGGTCTGGCGGCGGACTCGGAGCTTACTTTGATCGAGGACCCGTATACCGAGAAGGAAGCAAGACTGCATGTCATCAGAGTTAGAGAAATAATTGGTGCTTCAGGAGACCGAACTGATACTTTGCATGGCATCTTGTCGGGTACATCTCTCCATGATTCGGTCACACTCGCGGCAGAAACCTTCAACGGTACTGGTGCAACAGAAGCACATCCGATGGCTAGTTTTGACTTGCAGACCCCGGGAACGCTTTCTACTCTGCTTCCCGACGTTCTGGAGCCACAGCCAAAGACTGTGAAAGGATTATCACTCTCGCCATGGAACCCTCCTCCTTACCATCTCAGACAAAAGGGCCACCTCTTATATCTCCAGGTGACTACTAATGAAGGAGAACAACATCAAATCACAGCACACGTATCAGGATTTTATGTGAACAAATCTACCAACAGTAAATTCGATCCATTCCCAAGAGGCTCCCCGAAGGCTCATTCGGCACACTCATTGCTCAACCTGATTGAGGAGCTTTCTCCTTCGTTTGATGCTTCATTTAAAAAACTTTTGGATGCCAATAATACCAAGGAACCTCTGGCAAATTTCCAAATTACCAACGCCGTTCCTTCAAGCCCTTGGGTGGTTCCAAGCACGTCTTCACCTCTTGTTGCACATCAATCCGACATTACTCGAACACAAGAGAGCTATTTAATAGCAGGAATTGAGAACACTGAGACCTTGCGAGATTGGAACGAGGAGTTTCAATCCACGAGGGAACTGCCCAAAGAAAATGTGCATGATCGTGTTTTCCGTGAGCGCTTGACTTCCAAGCTATTTGCTGATTATAATGATGCTGCTGCGCGTGGCGCTGTGTTGGTTGCTAGAGGCGAGGTAGCCCCTTTAAATCCAACCGAGGGGAGAGATGCCCAAATATTCGTGTACAACAACATCTTCTTCTCTTTTGGCGCTGACGGGGTAGGCACATTTGCTTCAGAAGGTGGTGATGAGGCTGCAAGAGTGGCAACCGGCAAAGATGTCATGGGCGTTCGAATGGTCAACCAATTAGATATCGATGGACTTTTCACACCCGGAACCGTTATTGCTGATTATATGGGCAAGCGAATTGTCGCTCAGTCCATTGTCCCTGGCATTTTCAAGCAGAGAGAGCCAGGTGAGAACCAAATCGACTATGGTGCGGTCGACGGCAAGGACGTTGTTGCCGCGAATGAGCAATTCATCCCTACCTTTGAGAAGCTGTCCAAGGCTTTGAAAGTCAAGAAACATGCAGTCTGGGATAAAGACGGGAAGCGCCATGAGCTGGAGGGCAGCGTGGAGACCAAGGGCTTACTGGGTACCGACGGCAGAAAATATGTCCTTGACCTGTACAGAATCACCCCATTGGATATATCTTGGATGGAGGAATTTGGCACTGCCATTGGAACTTCCGAGGTTGTTGACGGTCCAGGTGAAACCGCATATCCTCACAGAATGACTGTCTTACGACCAGAACTTATTGAAACATATTGGAGGGTGAAGATGCGAGATTGGGTGAATGGCGAGCTAGCCAAGAGACGGAAGGATCAAAAAGATGGCGAAGGTGCCACAAAGACGCTTGATAATGGGAAGACCGAGGAGGGAAAAACTGGAGGTGCTGAGACCTCGGTCGATTCCAAGGAGAATAGCGAAGAGGCAGATACGGAAATCACCAAGTCTGCAGACGTCGACAACGAGAGAATCGACATCTCAAACTTCAACTTCACGTTAAACCCGGATGCGTTCAGTGGTCAAGAGGCACAAACAGATTCCGAGAAAGAGGAGTTAGCCAAGGATGAGCAGGAGGTCAGACTTGCTTGCGACTTCCTTCGCGGAACCGTCCTGCCAGAGCTGATCAATGATCTCAAAGAGGGCGACGTTGGATACCCAATGGATGGTCAATCTCTCAGCCGATTACTTCACAAGCGAGGTATCAATATCAGGTACCTTGGCAAGGTTGCTGAACTAGCTGAGGGCAAGAGACTTGAATCCATCAGAGGACTGGCCGTACGAGAGATGGTCTCACGAGCTTTCAAACACGTTGCTAGCAAATACCTGCGCTATCTTCCTATCCCATTGACAGCTGCGTGCACTTCGCACATGCTCAACTGCCTTCTTGGTACTGGTCTCAATGCTAAGCCTAAGGCTGAGGTTGATGCCAGTATGACTGCTTTGTATCCTGAAGCAGATTTGGCATTTGAGAAGGTTACACCAGAGACTTTGAGAGCAGAGATCGAAAATCAGATCGCTCGTCGCTACCAATACACCATTGACCCTAGTTGGGTTGCCAACATACAGCCCATGCAGCTACTTAGAGAGGTCTCGCTCAAACTCGGCTTGCAGCTTGAGAGGAAAGACTATCGCTTCACAAGCCAAACACCTGTCGCAGAACCTTCACCGGCTACCAATGGTTCGGCCTTGAAAGAAATTGGTACTAATGGCCAGAGCACAAGCAGCAGCAAGAAGAAGAAGAAGGCTCGCGATGGATCTCCAGCCTCTGTTACATCTGCACATTCTGCATCCCCTCAGACTTTTAGCCCTGATGACATTCATAATGTTGTGCCAGTGATCAAAGAGGCATCCCCCAGAAGCTCCTTGGCTGAGGAGGCTCTTGAAGCCGGGCGAATCTCAATCATGCAAGGTCAAAAGAAGCTCGGCCAGGAGCTGTTACTCGAGTCCCTTTCACTGCATGAACAGATTTACGGCATCATCCACCCAGAAGTTGCCCGAGTCTACAGCTCATTGTCTCAAACCTATTACCAACTAGAGGAGAAGGAGGCAGCTTTCGAACTTGCTCGCAAAGCCGTCATTGTCTCCGAGCGAACATTAGGTATTGACAACGCAGAGACTCTCCTCAACTACCTTAACCTGGGCCTCTTCTGCCACGCCTGCGGCGAAACAAAACTCGCTCTCCAATACGTCAAACACGCCCTCGAGCTCTGGAAAATCATCTACGGCCCCTCGCACCCGGACTCCATCACAACGCTCAACAACGCAGCCGTAATGCTGCAGAATCTAAAGGACTTCCACTCCTCGCGCCTCTGGTTCGAAGCCTCCCTCAAGATTTGCGAAGACCACTACGGCAAACACTCCATCAACTCCGCCACGCTCCTATTTCAACTCTCACAGGCCCTGGCTCTGGACTCGGATTCCAAGACCGCCGTGAACCGCATGCGCGAGTCCTACAACATCTTCCTGCACGAACTGGGTCCCGAGGACAAGAACACCAAGGAAGCCGAAAGCTGGCTCGAACAGCTTACGCAGAACGCCGTCTCGATAGCCAAGCACGCGAAGGATGTGCAGAACCGTCGTATCCGCGCTGGCATTCGAGTCTCGCCGCGCGTTACGCTCGGACAGACGCACCCGCAGCCACAGGTTGGGCAGACGACATCGGGGCGCGAGCAGCTAGGTGGGCGGACTTTGGATTCGAGGACTATCGATGAGCTAGTCAAGTTTATCGAAGGGACTGATGCGCAGGCAAAGACGAAGAAGAGACCCGGACGCAGTAACCCCAAGAGGCGCGGTGGTTCAACTTCGGCTGCTATATCGTAGTCCCGTCAGACTATATGATTGTGGTTATGGGGTACAGATAGCTTGGTCCGAAGATGCTCGGTGGCATGTTTTTCTGGTATTACTTGCATTATCGGCGCTTCGCTTGCTTCAATTGTACATGTATGTATTATTGTGTCTATTGCCTCACATCGTGGCTTGTTTGTGTAGTTGTAATATAGGAAGGAAAGTTGCATGCATGGTTGGACTGGATCTGGGTTGCATTATTGTATTGTACATTAATTGAAGACATCTTCCCTCCGCATTTACCGTCACTTAACTAAGTCAAATTGCTGCTACTAACGTTATTTCTCACAAACGAGGCCTGCCGACATTTGTTCTTTCAAAAACTCTAATTCCGGTTGTTTTTCTAGCTCCATGGCATCCAGCTCCAACATCACGTAGCAACGTATTCGCAGCAGGCCATGGTAAGGACAATCCACTCTACAGTCATAACAGCAATCACATCACAAACACAAGTCAAACGTAATTTTCAGAACAAGCCTTTTTTTATTTACCAAGCTAAAAACCCATAAACTTTGTTACATAAAACGCCAATTCCCTCCTTTGCCTAAGCCTTAGACCCAAGACTCAGACTTCGCTATGCAGACAAAGGCAAAAAACCAAACCAAAAAGCGAATGACATGTCCCATACGATTTTTAGGAGTGACAAGGGTTTGGTGGACTCGTAGAGTTGTGGGACAGTAAAAATACACTAAAACAGAGCAAGTGGCGAGGCGGTGGGGTAATGGGGTGATGGGTTGAATCTAAGAGCTGTTGATAGCAGGTGTCGCAGGAGCAACAGGGAGACCGTTACTGACGGGAGCGTGGAATGAACCGATGCTCTGGAAACCTCTGCAAAAGATTGTTAGCAACACGTACAGTACCGAGACTACCAAGCCAGACGAAGACAAAGCTTACTTGGTGAGATCAAAACCCTCATCCTCCTCCTCGACCTCCTCAGACTCGGGAGCAGATGTCTGCTTCGCAGGACTGCCGTTTCTAAAAGGGCTACGAGAAGGAGCAGGACTGCTGCTTGGTGGGAGAGGGGCGGCGCCTCCTTTAATTGGGCTTGAGTCCAGACCGACGCCTTTCATGGGCGTGTTTCCAAACTCGGCGTACTTCCAGAAAGGGGCAGGAGAGCTAGTCGGCATGTGTTGGCTTGGCCGCTGAGCTGTAGATGGCGGAGCTAAACGTGGATGGACTCGAGCTGGAGCTGGCGTGACCAACGCAGGGCCCTCTTCTTGCATGTATGAAGAAGTCAGAACAGGTGGAGAAGCTGGAGAGTTGTCAGAGAGACCGAACTGGCTATGGTTTATCTTGCGGTGGCGGGGAAGTGGGCTTCCGTCGCCAGGCAGGTCATGCATGGACTGTCCTGATCGGTCTGGGGTGAACTGCGGGGCATTATCTGGGAAAGACCGTGACGTGGGTGATCTGGACGTTGGTGAACGTTTTGGTGAACGCTTCTTCGCTGAGTCCTTGGCTCGGTAAGAGAGATTGGCGGGTGAGCTAGGTGCGGAAGAGCCTCGATGGCCACCTCGTCCGCCTTTCCAACAAGTTTTTGCCATGTCGTCGCGGCATTCGGCTTTGATACACCACTTCATGCCCTTACCAGGTTCGTCGGTTTCCCGTGCTACCTTATGGAAGGACTTGTTCAGAGACAGGTTATGTCTGATAGAGTTCTGCTTGATGTTAATTATATTCACAAAAGAAAAATTGAGGGGCTGAATCTCACCTGCCATCCGCCTGCAACTTGGAACCTATAGTATGCATACTTATCTTGGATATAAGCGTAGATACCAGCCAAGTTCAGCTTCTCTTCCTCCGTATCAAGGATAGCTTGGGTGATCATTTGTGCATAACTGTAGGAGGGTTTGATGTGATGGTTGGACTCTAAGGCTAGATCCACATCATCGGCATTCATCATCATTGTGCCACCAGCATATGGAGATTTTCCAGCCGTATACTTCACATTGCTGCGAGCGCTGACGGGTGTACCTGGACGTCGGTAATCCGGAGGCGCTGGAGCAATTGGCAGTGGTCCCGCACCATTCTGACCGCGTACAGTTTGCGCGGAAGATGACGGTGCTGAAGAGGTTGTATTCCCTCCATGTTCCTCGGAGTCATTGGCAGCTGAAGGGTCGATGAGGCCAGCTCTGGCAAGATATTCTTTTTTGACTTGCAGATTCCTTCCTTCTTGAGGCAGCACAAACATCATCTCTACACCAGCAACCTCTATCACTTCTCCACTGACAAGAGCATGAAATTCGCCCTTTCGAAGGGGAGCACCGTTGATGCGAATGCCATTGCGGCCATGGACAACAATTTCCCATCTCTCCTCATCCTCAGTGTCGAAAGTGATCTCAGCATGGATTCGGGACACCATCTTGACAGGTCCCAAATCAATATGGACGACATCTTCGTCGACGTTCTCGCTTGGCGCACCATTAAGTTCCGGAGTGTTGTTCTTCGAAGATTGAGTGACCTCCGGAGGGCGGCCGATGACATTTCTCAAGTTTTTAACATAGTAAGTCCAGTCCCTTCCTGCCAGCTTTGCGTACGCCTGGACACCGTCTTTGTTGAGCTTTTCGTATACGACATTGGCGTGGTCTGTACTAGCTTGTACCTCATGGTTCGGCATACGAAGGTAGGGGATGATAGACGCAATCAATTCTTCGTCCTCCATTCGAATCCCCTCGCGATCCCTAGGGAGTGGTTCTGGTTCTGGCGCTGGCGTTGGCCTTGGTGCTTCGGCCACCTTTGAATAGTTAGCAGATTCCCAATTAAAGATGGGAAATGCATTGAGAATATAACATCCCGGCCCTTCACTCGAGGAAGGATATTATATGATATTGCGCTCTTGACGTACTCTTCTTCTTCTCTTTGCAGGCCTCGAGGGGGAGGAGTCGGGGATGTCGGCAGCAGGAGCGACTTCCCTTCGAGCCCTCTTGGGACGAGTATTTGAGGGCGGCATGATCGGGCAGAGGTAGATATGAAAGCGCGAGTATCTGCGAAAAAGGTCAGCGCAAGTCAAGGTGTGTGCGGCGACGTCGAAGAGTCAGATCCTGTCCTTTTCCCCTCGCGACAGATAGATAAATTGGACCAGGCGCGGACGGATATTCTTGACTTACTTGGAAAGAATGTATCCCGGCGCGGCTCAGTGCGCCTTTCTCTAGACGGTGCGACAGAGGCAGCAATCAATCAATGGCGAGGTTTTCCCTTGGTCGGACTGTTTATTTGCGCTGGGCTCGGTGTGGCGTGGCGATAATGGTTGTCGCGATTTGTTGCAATCACGCGGCGGGCATTCGCGTGTCGAGTTGCCCAGACGTAGAGCAAAACACAATGGGCTTTGTCGGCTGTGGTGAATGGCAGTGGGTGGATAAGGATACGGATACGGATACAGGTTATCGATAGGGATATATCTGCAAATGATGTTTGGCTCTGGCGGGCAGAGTGTGCGCAATCCTGGACGGTTTGTGGGATATTCTCTGGGGGGAAGAATGAATTACGGCGATTTCAAATGCGTGGGGAGGGGGCTATCTTTTTGTGATTGGCCAGAAGCCTAAAATCGTTAGGGAATGTCAATATTTGGCTCACTAAATATTAAGGGGGAAGCGGCTCTGTTCTTTGGTTCACCCTCCGTCATAATGCCAACAGGCCCCCATCCATGTACAACAACCAACGGATTTCCAGAAGAAGGATTTGCTGTTAACAACGTGTTCTTACCACTCACTCCAGTCTGATACAATGGAATCGGGTCGAATTGGTCTGACAGGGCAAGGCGAAGCAAGGCAAGGCAAGGCAGGCAAGGCATCTCATCCATCTTCGGCCCCCCCCCTCCCTCGCCCCCTTTGGCATGCACATCTATCTAAACCCAAGCAGTTAAGCAAACCTTTTGCTTTGCGCCCGCCCCGACCTACCTACATAGTCAATCTTGGGGCCCATAACAAAAATGGAACAAGTTTTCTACTCATTATTATTAGTGATCTATAGTAGGAAGCCAGCCTGCAGACCAACCAGTCGCAGAGTGATAGCTCGTCATGTGACGGCAAAGCTTGCTTGACTAAATACTTGTCGATTGCCTAATTTGAGTTTTTGGTCAAGGTCTCTTTGTTGAAATCTATTGTGGGATAGATGGCTTTGTAATGATATTGAACGTTATGAGGTTATGAAACGAGAAGTCCTCGTCGTTGCTCATACACGAGACTTCAAAATATATACATACCTAGGTAGGTACATATAGAAGCTCACGTCCACGGAAGGGGGAGTCGCGTAGACACACAAAGCTATATTCCCAACCTCAACAAGCGTAATTATATCATCGCATCACTCTCTCAACAAATGAGTTCGCCTGTTGTACGAGCAGCCGGGACATCATGTAATCGTTCTTAAGACCACTCGGACCCATGATTTATTGACACATTGTTCTTGTCTCCATAAACTCCTGCGGAAAAAGCGGTGGGTTGATATTGCAGTTTAGAGGCTGCAAGCCGGAGGTATTCTGATCATGGTATGCAATAAGCCTTGTCAGAAACACCACTTCAAGGTGTGATTCGTATAGGTAACCTGAACCATACAGCTGCCGTGCGTCAGTTTCTGTGTACCCTAAGACTCGGCTTCGAGAAACTAGCCAGATGTATTACTCGTGCATTGTGGATGTCAAAAGATAATCTTATTTCTAGATGTGGCTTCCTTGACTTTTTGGCCGAATGGCTTGACCTATTGCTAGTCACCACAGGACGCCATTCTGACGAAAACAGGCGGTCTGAGAAGAAGGAATAGCACCAATAAGAAGAATCCCCCATTAGCAATGTATTCCAGTGTAGGGGTCGTTGTTAAAGTCACCACTCTCTACGCAACGACAGACTGATTCTTATTCATTTCACTTAGGCGTCTCAAAGTTACTTGATACCTCATACTTCATGGCATGCTTCCTCACCCGATTAGGAATTGAAAGAGCAAAATGACTCGCAAGACTGGATAATGACCTGATCTTGACATATTCGGTGCCTTCACCCGGTATTCTTCCCAAAGGGG